TATAATGCCTCTGTGTCCAGAGTAACTGGATACAGTCCCTTTTACTTGGCACACGGAATCGAATGCCTCTTTCCGCTAGACACAAACTTGCCATCCAAGACCGACACTCAGGACACGGACGACTTGTATGATCATATGCAAGAAATTTATGCAATAGCCACTGAGAACATGGATACCGAAAGGTTAAACCGAATGTATTACTACAATAAAACTCGAAAGCCCGTCACTTACGAAGTTGGTCAAAAGGTATTATTTTCTCCTGGACGCACAGGACCCAGCAAAAAATTAACCAGTTTTATCATGGACCATATGAAATTTTACAAAGATCGGGGAAGTCGACTACCAAATCTCCTACGAAAGGGCAAACGACCCAGGCAAACCTACAGTGGTGAACGTTGCCAGGTTAAAACCGTACTATGACCGGCAAGATCTTCAGTTATGGGAGGAACCTTCAATCGACGAACCTATGCCCTTAATAGATCCCGACAAACCGCTTTTACCAGTTTCCAATCTCAAGCCTCGAATTCCCAAACCGATACCACAAATAGAAACTCCAACCGAAAATATCGGAGAAAACTCTCCGGAAAACCCTATTCCGCCTCAGCAACCCATAGGAGAAACGCCTAAGAAAGCGAAAAATACCACGAAACTTAAAAAACCAAAAGGGTCCAGAGAACTAAAAAATCTGGGACCGGTTGATAAATCTCTCTGGAACAAGCCCCGTGCTAAAAGAACTGCGAAAGTTAACTACATCGCAAATATGAAACCATTCAACATGGCGTCTTTGCTTGCCTGGACAATGATAATTCTTTGCACTATTCCAGGAGCAGAGTGTAAAGCTTTTACAATCTGTAACTGTGAACATCAACAATTCCTGGGAGTTCTGGACATGGCAGATTACACAAAATGTGCACCATTACCTACAAATCCGTCTCCAATTCAGGCAAACTACTCCATTTTTTGCAGTTCAACGTCCTTCTCTTTCCTTTCCAGCAACAGTTTGCACGGCAACTACAGTTACCATGGAAATCACTCAGTCATTTTTCGGGTCCTTAGACCATCTTCCAAGTTCTGCAAAAAGGGACCTCACAGATTCGGAATGTAAACTCATCTCGTCAACTAGGTCCTGTTTCGGTAACCCCATGGTAGCACGTCCAAATTCGAATGTATGGGTATTCAATGGAAAGCCTAGAAAAGACTATTCATGGTTAACAACAACGGTCAACACCGTAGTACAATGCACCCTTGAAGAAACAACCCTTACGCAAGATTCTGAAAACGAACCCATTTATAGTTTCTTGGGCCCTCTTTCAACATCCAGAAAAGCAGGGTTCGCCATTAGAAATCATGCTACGTTCATCTGGAACACCAAGCAAGAACCTACACAACGTCAGTGTAAATTTCAAGAATTGCCAGGAGAAAATGCTCAAATAACAACCCTAGGACCCAATCACTACAAACTCAGAGATTCGTTTCGTCAAGTGGACTTTATCTTTAAAGAAATACCAGTACAAACCAACTGTTCTTTTCGCAAACCAGTTTATGCGGTCGAAGGTTTTCCGCAAACATATATATCAATAGATAGAAAGACTTTCAAGGCAACTAAGGAGGACCTTGAGGATCTACAAAGATTCAAACGCGATTCACAGTCTTTCTTTCGTAATACTTACGACGATCCACCGGCAGAGGTTATGGCCGCATCGACTTTCCTTTAACTCTGCCACAACGCGCACGAAACGACCCAGATCAACAACACAAATGACTACGCCGACTCTACTCCCGTACTATGCTGTAGCGACGGAAGATGACCCAACACAACAGTTACAACCTCTTCAACAAACCGACGAGGTTTCAGCACGGTCACATGCTACAGTACCTCGCGATATTTACGACACAACGACCACTTTGGAACCATTTACCATCCCAATTTCGCAAACCGAACCATATGTCCCTGAAACCGAAAGTTCGTACCCGACTCTAAGTCCCACAGAACAGCGAGAAGAAGATAATTATGTGGATCAACTACAACAACAGCTGACAAGTTACCGAGGGATCATTGAGGAATCACGTCGGAACGAAGCACGTAGAGAAGAAGAATACGAAAACGAAAAACGTGAGATGCAACGCCGAATTAACGACTTACAAAATCGCCCTACACCGTCTTCCAGTCCTCTAGTTACACCACAGAGATCAGACTTATTCCTTGGCCCCGTCTTAAATCGAGTCCTAGGCTTGGGACAAAGAAAACCAACTGCTTTTCAGCGAGTCCGAAATATGGCTCAAGAACCAGAACCCTACCGACCACAACCAGTAACACAATCCCCATCCTATAGTAACGTACCAGACAATGCATATGCGCAGCGGTACGGAGAAATACAAACACTCCGCTCAACTAGCGCCCCAATTCTTAGTCCTAAGGACAACATAAAGAAATTTTTCTCAATGTTGCATCATCAGCCATGGACAGATAATCACGACCACTACTGGAATTCTTTCCGATACTTAACTGCTCATTTACAGCACTTATCAGACACAGCAATCAGCACGTCAAACATCCTAGCACAAGAAAGCTATAAACTGGACTGTAAGCAGAGACAAAACACCGCGGAGCTCTTACACCTGCTGTCCCGATTTTCGGGAATCCGCGCAGCCAAAATTCTCGATCTCCCCGCTTGTACCACAGTCACAGCTAACGGCGAGCAGGCACTTGTCTACCAATGCCTGGCCGAGGACGTTCAAGTTAACGCAAAGCTGACATCCTGTGGATATGAGCCACTTATCCAAGAAAATTACACTATTGCCATAGATGGACACACTAAATACAAATTTACGCCTTGCCTCCATAGAGGCGGTTTTGCGGCTTTCGGAGACCAAACACTAGAGTACAACAGTTCACTCCGCGATTGGCAAAAGGTCACCAAATCAATAGCCATACAACACGCTAGGTTTGTTAAATCTTTTAAATACAAACCGGATCAAGCGCTACTAGAGGGACTCGACACATCAGATAAGACACAACACCATGCGTTGGATTTAGTGGGAGAGATGAACGCTTTCTTTGATGATACAGATTCAAATTCATTAGCCGAGGTTCTTCAACAAAACAACAAATTCGAACTACTACTAGCCTCATGGATTGGACTCTATTTCCCGCAACTCGAGCTATTTTTATCTCTCTATTTGTAATCCTCGGACTGATGCTTCTTTTGGTGATATTCTTTCGATGCTTTGGATGGAGATGGCTACTGGAGAAATATTACAATTATCGTCACCAAAAGCGAGTCAGGCAAACAGAAGAAAAGACAGGGGTTATCTATATACCTAGTACAGAAGTGGCTTCTGGAAATTCCAACCGTCCCTCGCGCATCCGCCGGCGGTGACGGTGCAGCTACAGCTGCAGTTCAACCCCGAGAACTTTTTAGACAACCCCGACTTCACCATGCTAGCCGCGGCCGCCACATCCCGGGACTGAACGGCCTGGAGCCCCGCCGAGGGCGCCGCGTACGCCGGCCCAAGGCGGAGATCGAAGCGGAACGGCTTATCACGCCGCGCAACAGGCGCTGCTGCAGCAACAACAGGCGTTCCTGTCGGCGGCGACGGCTGATGTGAAGAGGTTAAGGGCGGGGCATGAGGAGAGAAGGGAGAAGGTGAAAGAGCGGGACAGGGACCGGGATAGGGAGATTGAGCCGTAGAGGTCACCCAATCGGCTGGGACCACCGCCCGCCCTTGGGCGCAGCAGTAACAACAGTCTGGCGCCGGAGATGGAAGGAGTGCTAGATTTGACCGGGAAGAGCACGGCGTCGCCGGCCGGCAGTCGCAAGGAAGGGCGCGTCCGGCGAGAAAGCATCCAAACTGAGTCAAAAGGCAGGGGCGTCATAGAGGGGGTGTCAACCGGCAATTTTTCGGAGTTTGACTCCCCCCTGTTTTAAAACAAAAGGTATGAAGAATATTTTTTTATATTTTAATTGAATTATTTTATTTTTTTAATTTTTTTGTTCCGGTAAATTAATGTGAATTTATTTATTGGAAATCACTATAGGCACCCCCTTACACCCTCGTTTATTATAGGCACCCCTTCTCGCACCCCGTAATTTATAGACACCCTTTTCTGTTTATTAAATAGAAACACCCTGTCAGTGTATTTTATAGGCACCCTTTAATAGCATATTTCGGATACAGAATTCGATAATGATTTCATGTACTGTACGTGCATCAGTCTCATACAGATACTCGCATACAGACAGAATCAGGCTTTCCATCCGATGATCGGGCGGTGAGGCTGATCTGCTAACTTAGATCTAATGAGGATGGCATCGTCGGCGGTAATTTTGATGTTTCGTTTCGCAGTTGTAATTTCGGATGCCGGTTTTCTGTCGGTTCTTTTCGGACACCGGGTGGCCTCCTTGGGTTCTTTTCGGACACCAAAGTTTTTCCTTACCCCCAGTCTTTGTGGCAGTTTTTAAAGACGGTGAAAAACGCGTCGATATAGTGGTTCCTTTCATATGACATAAAACAAAGTGCAACTGGTCGACCTTTCCCGTGGCGATCTTGCACAACAACAGCGTACAAGCAGTAGTTTTCAACATTACCGTATCTAGGTTCTAACACTACAATTACAGTATAATGTGCTAAAGTTTCATAGGGGTGCCTATAAAAAACAGGGTGCACGAAAGAATCAATTAATAAGATAAGGGTGCCTTTAATTAACGGGGTGCGGAAAAGGGGTGCCTACAGTAAACGGGGGTTTTTGGGGTGCCTATAGTGTCACCCTTATTTATTTGCGGTTAATTACAACAGCGGCAGATTTTTTTACGCGGAAAATTAATACCGATTTTATTGATAAATTTGTTGAACTATTTCCGGTAAGTCTATTTAGTGCGGCAAATTAATGTGAATTAATTTATTTGCGGAAAGTGATAACTATGTATTTATTTGCGATGAATTTATACAAGTTGGGTTGAATTTATTTGATATCGGTGACGGTCGGTTGTGTTGCGCAGGTGGACACGTTGCTGAAGAAGCAGCGTCAGGAGGCGGAGCACACGCAGCACAACGCCTTCGACCCCGACAGCCGCGTGCCGGTCGTTAACATGCGCGACGGCAGCGTGCTGCAGGGCGACAAGGCGCCGCGCCAGAAGGACCTGGCCGACTGGCTCATGAAGAACCCGCACTACGCCGTCGACACGCAGGCCTTCCAGATTCCCGGCATCACCTTCCCCAACGTGAGTAGTTTTTAGTCAATAAAAAATGAATAATATTTGCAACAGGAAAAATTACTTTAATAAATAGGAGCGTTGTCTTTAATAAAATGTGATAATAAATAAAACAATAATTATTCAATGGAGACACAGGAAATAATAATCGCGTAAATATACGAGTACAATTAAGAAATACGAGTGTGAAAAATATTAAGAAATACTGCCCGACAAATACGAGTGTGTAGAAAATTAATTGAAATATTAAGAAATTAAGAAATAAATGCTTAAAATAATGGTGATTTATTTTTGGATAATTGCACTAATTTTTCCGGTGTGATTAGATCATTCACCAACGGCGTGTCGACATCGTCGAAACCCAGCGCCGCCGACGACTTTGCTTCGGGCAGCTCCTGGGGCGGGGGCGCTGGCGACACGGGCCTGCACCTAACCGGCGAGGAGAACGTGACAGTCATCCACCGGAAGTCGGGGAAGAAGATCTCGGGACGCAAAGCGCCGCAGCTGAAATCGCTGGTGGAGTGGCTGGAGACCAACCAGGACTACGACATCGACGCGGCCTAGGCGGCTATCCTCCGCGAGCAGGGCGCCATGTCCGCTGCTCCCCCGTCGACCTCCTCCGGGAAGGAGAAGCGCGGCCGGAAGAGCGCCGCCAGCAGCAGCAGCGGCGACAATCTCGCCGGCAGTCCGGCGGCCAACCTCTTCGCCGCGGGCAACCCCTTCGCGCCCGGCTTCCCGCTGGGCGGGGCCTTTCTGCCGGGGCTGCCTCGCGCTTCCCCATGCCCTTCCCGGGACTCCCCGGCTTCCCGCTGTCCAGTGCGTTGATGGGGATGCTGCCCGGGATGCCGGCCGACGGTACGTGGGAGTTTCTCGTTTCTTTATTGCGGATTTGTGATTTTTTTTATTGGGATTCGGCTCGATGGTAGATCACTTGCAGCTGTGGAAACTTTGTGAGCTTTACAGATGATTTTCACTCCAATTATAGTGTAGGACAAAAAAAACGTGAATCAAATTCTATCTTATTTTTCTTCCTAGACATAGCTCCAAGAAATTACTACCATAAATAAAAATAATAATTAATGCTCTTTAAATTTCTTTACTTACATTTAACCGAATTATAATTTCTGGTCAACAGGTTCCAAAAATTCGTATTTTAAATTGAAAATTTTATTTTACAATCGATTTCGAATTAAACTGCTTCAGAATCAAGCAGCGGTTAGAGATAAAACATTTATTTTTGAAGAATATTATTTCATCGGGATAACTGATCAGATTTTCAGCCGGTTTATAAAAATGTTTTTCGTTAATGATATGTGGTTTTTGATATTTGGTAAAATTTCTTATTTATGAGAAAACCTATACGAAGAAAACATTTTAAAGAGGGAGAATCGATTTTTTTGTCCTACATTATATTTAAACAATTTTCTTGGAATTTTTGTTTGGAGATTGTGGGGTTATTTTCAGGCGAGAGCGCGGGTAGTCTGAAAGGTAATTCCTCCGGGAAGAAGGGCGACGCGGCCTCCACCGCGTCGTCGTCCTCCTCCTCCAAGACCCGCGAGCGGGAACGCGACCGGGAGCGCGACACCACCGCCGCCGTCGGCTCCTCCTCCCGCAAGAGCAAAGCTGAGAAGGACAAGGCGGAGAAGGAGCAGCAACAACAAGCCGCCGCCCTGGAGAGCATGATGCAGTCGCAGCTGCCCTTCATCTTCCCGCAGGCCGGCTTATTCCCGGGCCTCAATCCGGTGTTCGCGCAGGCCGCCGCCGCCGGCTTCCCCATGGGGCCCGGCCCGCTCCTCAACGACTTCGATCGACCCACCGCGGCGGAGAAGACCCGGGCGACCAAGGAGAAGCGGGGACGCGGGACCACGGCATCCCCCCGCCCAGTTCGCCGGGTCCGCGCGCACCCACCGGGAACGCGAACGCGACAAGGAGGAACGGTCCGTCGGGCGCCCGCGCGGCCGCCCCCCGCGGAATCGCGAGCGGGAGGAGTTCCGGAAGGAGCGGGAGCACCGTCGGCTGGAGAAGGCCGCCGACGAGCGACAAAGCGGCGGACGAGGAAAGTCTTTCCGTTTTCGTGTTGGTATGGTTTGGAACCCGGATTGTGGCCCTTTTGTTCATCCCCATAGCTGATCTCCTGGTGAATGTGGAAACTGGAATGGTTATGCGCGTTTGTGTCGCGGCGGAATCAATATGTCTTCGGACTGTTGTACGGGAGGATCGCAACTCTCACCAGACGAGGAGACTTGTGTTCTCGCTGTTTTTTTTACGGATGGCTTGTTTTTAATCTATTTTTGAGGCGGGTGTGGTTGCATGGATAACTAATGAATAGAGAAAGCTGTTTAAGCGTTTTGCTGATTGGCAATTGTTATAGACAGGCGGGAAATGGCTTGATCGATTTTGTTATTAAATATTAACGTGACCGATGAACCGTGTCGTCTGGGCGTGCTAGCGGTAATTTTTTATCATTTATTGATCAGTTTTCTGCTTAATTTGTTTTTGTTCTATCTTTGGTCTGTTTAATTTACAAGTTAATTCTTTTTTAACAGATTATTTTTATAGATCAATTTAATTTTTAATCTGCAAGTTTTTTTACTTTTTTAAATCTTTTTCCTATAGTTATTAATGAGTTAGAGGGATTGTCAATTAATTTCGCACGATAGGTTTATTTGCATGCTGACAAATATTTCTATATTATTATTTACCGTAAAACCCGATATTGACGCCCTGGGCTTTTATTTTTTCGAGAGCTTTGGGAGGGGGCGCTTAAAACCGCAGGGGGCGTCTAAGATTTCAAATGAATAACGCGCTCATCTTACTTCACCTTTTACGAGATAAATATGTATGAACATTACAGAAATAATTCAGTAAAAAATACATCCGTTAGAAAATCATGGTTGTACGGGTGTGCATAAGTGGAATTTAAATAATTTAGAAAAATGTACCATTCAGACTGTACCGACAACAGACTAAAAAAGCGCGGCGCCGCAACTTGATAAGCGCCCCGGGGCGATAATTTCGGGGGGGGGGGGGGGTTTCTATAATTTCGTGGCCTAAACAAAGGCAGACCAGTAAAAAAACCAAGGACATTTCATCCGGAACAGGAAGTTAGGAACTGCCACGATGCGCGCGTCTACGGCGCGCTTAAAGCAAGGGAACAGTCAGTCCCCACAGGAAAATCCATGTCATCCGATCGAGCCTAAGAGAAAAAAATCAGCGGTTTAAACTTGTGCAGTCGTGAAGATAATGCAGCGCGAAGCTCACATGATGTGACTCCACGCCCATTATTATACAATTTAAAATTAGATTAATTAATCGTCAAAAATAAATCAATACAGTTGTCATACGCCACCCGCAGGGGCTGCCCAATGCGCAGCTGTTTTTGTAATAATTCCACAAAATGCTTTTCAAAATCGCCATCCTGGCATACAGTAAGTGCCGTACGTTCAAGCTGAGTTTACGTGATTTCTTCAAATCGACAGAAAATATTCTAACTCGAAACTTTTACTTGCAACTTTCTATTTTCCATAATAGAATGATTCTGAATTCTACGATTCTGAAGAGGACGATTCTGACCGGGTAGGGGAGAGAATGGATCAGCACATCCACCAGGATCGGGTAGTCTGAAAACCCAGCGAGGCGCGCATGAATCGCGGTCTGGATGGCTTCTACGTCCTGCGGGCGAGCGCGCAGTCGGTGTGCCTGCGATGGGCCTGCAACACACAAAATTCCCCTTCTGGAGAGCGATCCACTGAATGCGCTGGTTATGCTCAAGAAAATGGTACAAGATCCAGCTGCTGTCTGTTCGCTACTCACACGCTTCTTAAAAAATACAACACAGCTATCCCATCTGTACTTACGCAGATTCCCATGCAACTCGATCCGCGACATTTTACAAGACGAGATTTTGTACAGTAAATAAACGCTTGCAAAAAAGCAGATATAATTAATGTTTGTTTTATGACAGATAAAAATGGTCAACACTAAGTATAGTATTAGAACCACACAAATTCTCTCTGCGGACCATCTCGTAGTGCAGGATGGCCACTCAAGACTGACCGAGGGCGAAGCACCTGTTGCTGACACAGCGCAATAGAGAAATTGCTTCCACCAGTAGTGCAGATCCTGAGCTACGCGATCACTTTCGCCTCACTACGTTTGAGGTGTAGAGCAGCCGCCCTCGGTGATTGGTGGTGTAGGAAATGTACGTTCACCCACAATCACAAACCGATCAATTTCTACATAAAATTTTTTTCTTTATTAGCTCGAGCCAGTCACGTCACAAGTTTGTAACACAAACAGGAATAATTACAACAGAAAAATTAGAAAAGAAAAAAAAAACATAAAAAGATACAAATTATCATTACGGTATCATTAATTTCACGTTTCTGACTTTAATTCTTGTTCAATCAAATTTTTTAATTTATTTTCGGGATCTTTTCTGATGTAAATAAAAATAATACCACCACTTCAGTATCGTATGAAGGTGGTAAGGCGAACGTCTTCCGGAATTTTACTGTCTTTGCATTTGTTTTGTCCTACGATTCGCATTCATGTCGTAAAGTCTATGTATCATGACAGACCTGCTCGAATAATCAGCGATAGTGGATTATTGGGTGTGGAACATTACTGTTACGGTTCCGCGGCGCCAGCGTCATCCGAACCGCTGCGCGGGCCCCACATGGAGTCCAGAGCGAAGACGGTTAGACGGGTCAGCTGCGGCAGCGGGGTGCTGGGGAAGTCGGCTTCCTCCCATGCCGGTCCGCCCGGCTCCGTACTGCAACACACAACCGGTGAATGAGCACTGACTGTAGTCCACCGTGACCTTTCTTATATTAGTCCAGGACGCCGGTTCCTTTTAGCAAAGACGAACACACGGTTAAATGGGGCGTGGTGATACGTACGCGGTGAGGAGATGGCGGAGGACGCGCCAGTAGGTGTCGCGCGTGCGCCAGTACGCGTACATGTCCGTGGCCACCCGGCGCATCTCCGCCGGCGGCTCCGGCAGCGCGGCCTCCATGGCCGTCCGCATGGCGGTCAGAGTCGCGACAATGTCCTGGCCGCAGTCCAGACGCAGGAAGGGCACGGCCACCCGCAGCGGCGGCGCCGGGTCGCGGCTCTGGTAGGGCTCATCGGTCAAGGGGGTGAAGTCGGAGTGCCAGGAGGGCCGGCAGTGGTGGAAGGCTTGGACGGCGTCGTTCTGGACGTAATCAACCAGGATCAGCTGGCCGCTGCACACGTCCATCAGCGGTGACAGGTGGTGCAGGGGAAAGTAGAGCGGCGCATGGGCACTGGCCTTCCATTCACTGACCACCGCCCAGACGGTGGGCAGGTCGCCGGTTACGACGCAGCGGTGGCAGATGATACGCTGCAGTGCCGCGGCCGGTGCCGGTCGGAGCATTCTGACCAGCTGCCGAATGAGGGTCACGTCGCTGCTGCCCACACGCAGGCTGCGCTCGGCCAGACGGTGCTCGCCGGGCCGCCACCGGCTCAGCACCAGCGTCCGCACGTCACGGGTTACACCGTGGTACAACAGTCGGCCCAGACGGTACATTTCGTCGTACATGTTAGTGCTGCGTACACGCCGGCCGAAATCCAGCAGACAGTGCCGGTGTCGGCAACTGGTGGCCACCTCGTGCCAGGCCTGACTAACCCTGCAGTCAAGGTTATACATGCAGCTTACTTTTACGGTTGTACCGTACACTGGCTTGATACAGGCGCAGATACAGTACGGGAGTTACGAACGCCTTTACGTTCATATCGGATTCATAATAATTATTAGTTGCGTAAAGGTAAGTAGAGCCGAAAAGGCGAATTCATGGGTCAAGGCCCGTTAAGCTTAGGTAGCGTAGTGGCTATTGCTTTGAACGCCAGCATCGCACTACCCGTATCTTAGTACAAGATTCACTCACCCACCTACGTCACACAGGCGGGGCATACGCAGTAAGCTGACGTACTGGAATCTGTTTAATATTAATTTTACCGTTGCAGCCTAGTTCGGGTGACGATATCCATCATGTCCAGCAGGCACTGGATGATTTCCAACGGCAGACCAGCCAACCGCCCGCTGTCGCCGTCCTCCTGCGCAACTGCACTGCTGCCATGCTCTGTGATATCTGCATTAATAATACCCATATTATCGTTAGCCAATACCCCGTTCTGCAAGCAGCGCCGGACGCATTCCGACAGCATCTCGGCGCTCCACGGACGATCCTCCTCTTGACGCTGCCAGATGAGAAACTTGACGGAATCCGAGCCGAGGCGCATATAATAGCGTGTGTGTTGGATCCCGTAGGTTGTGTGCCGCGGCCGGCCATTCAGTGCCCGGTGCTGCGCAATGAACACCGCACGATTCATCTCGAACTGCAGTCGATTGGTGTCGATACAGTTGACGTGCGCCACGTCCAGCGTGTCCGTCGTGTAGGCGGTGTAGACTCCCTCGCGCGGCGACGCGGGGGGCTGCAGCAGCGGCCGACGCGGCAGCTGCGGTGCGGCAGTACGTAGCAGATGCAGGAGATGGCGCTGCGTCGATCCATCGGCCGTCGTCTGCACGCAGCACAACACACGGCCGCGCTGCCACCAGCCGACAACGGCGCCCGGCTGGAATGTCAGCGGCGCCGCGGGGTCGCTGCGCAGCGCCGCCAGCACCGTGTCGGCGTCCCGGCGCGGCCCCGCGAGAACATCGTGCGGGAAGACGCGGTGGGCGGGCAGCCATGCGGCCGGTAACGCGGTGCAGTGGAAGTTGACGAAGATGTGCTGCTGGTCGTCGGCAATGTCCTCGATGAAGCCCAGATACCAGGCGTCGTTCTGCTGGACCATCACGGTGTTCCCGTTGCTGACACTGCGGCCAAAGCGCCGATACGGCCACGGCTCAAAGCCCACTTCCAGTTGAAATGCCCAGTCCGATTCCATCATGCCACGCTAACGCAGTAGCTCGTCGCACTAGCAGCAGCGGAAATACAAGTAGGTAATTACTTCAGGCTTCAGTTACCACCGTACCAGTATACGTACACTCGCAGAAATAGAAGTAGCATAATTTATTTTATATGCGATGTGTACAAGTATCGCTGGAGTCAGTCGTATCAGTTCGTCAGCGGTTAACAGCGCCTTGCAGGACGATATATTAATATGCACTAAGTCCATCTTTGAACCCGAGATCTCCAGATCTAGACAGTAAACGCATCAACGAAGGCCAATAGAAACAGCTGGCAGTGGCAATAAACACCAAAATGTCGGCTGGAAAACAGGTAAAGAACTTGTATAATATAGAAGAATAAATGATTATAAATCACACGCCACATCCAGTGCGCGTTAGCTATATATTATATACATGTATAATAATGTATTATTTATATATTATCAGCCTTTAATGTCAACTCAACAGCAACACAGGATCATCGGTAGCTTAACAGTATCACCGTCACGAAAACGATCAAAACAAGCCGTACTCGGGGAAGCCGTCATTTAAACGTCAATTACCTTCTGTCAATAATGGGGAATAGTAAGTAGTAAGTACTGTAGCTGCCAGCGTGGTACTGTACGTTGCATCAGCATGACATGCGTGCCATGTGCAACTGTCAGTCACTACAGTTGTAAACTGTACCAATTGCGCATAGGCGCATCGCGCACTTACTTACATCGAATTTCACCAAGCACTTACATACAAAGTAGGCAAAACCGCGCCTTTTTTGCACAGCTTGCGTGTAAGTATGTACGGGATAAACCTGACCGCGTGCGCACAACAGCCATGACGCACATACTTCGATAAAAAAGCTGCGCTGACAACGTGTTTTCAAAGTTCTCCCACATCATTATCATATTTTAACCGTAAATAGTCCTATAGGTAAACCTGCTGAAAACACCCAAACAAATTGCAATATGAATAATTAAAATAATTAAGAATAAGAAGTAAAGTTTCACAATTAGATTTAGGAACGCTTCTGGGTAGCCAGATCAAGCGGGAGCCCGCAGCGCTGCTATACAGTGCAACATATAAACTTCATGTCAGATGCAGTCAGACAATACAGAAAAAAAATCCGATCAACTCATAGCCTCATACTAGAATACATAAATTTGAATTATAAAAATTTAATATTTGACTTACCAAACTTTCTACAGGGCTGTCCAGAAGTATGACTGGCAGTCGAGTGTTAAGTCAAATTCAGCAAAAAACACAAAAAGCAGTACTACGGCTGGGTAGCCAGCAAGCAGGGTTCCCTGCGATGCGATGGCAATAAATGTCAATGAATATTACAAATCACACAGAAAGCCACATGGATTCTAAAACCTTGTAGCCTTTCTTAGTTAATTCGTAATACTCCTGGCGATAATCAAGGACAGTGTTAAAAGATAATTAAGACAATCTGATGTGATCAGAGAGAAGGAACGCATCTGGGACAAGCAACAATATTCGCCACTAATATTCTGGGATCCCAGAACAGTAGGCTTTCCTGCACTAGGACCTGATAAGTTAAACCTACACTTACTTTAAAAAAATTATTATAAATAATAATTTTTAACAAGTTTAGAACAAAAGTTTCTAAAGAAGGCAAGAAAACTGGTCCTCGCATTGCGATAAATCCGTTGCTGATTCGAAGTATGGGGAAAGAATCACTTGGTTTCGAATTTCGCTATTGGCGGTGGGCAGCCTCGATCTAACTCAAAATGCTGACCCACCAATGAAAATCGCAGAAACGCGAAGTTTGTAAGTAGCTGGGCGTCGCTTAGACCCGTTACAAGGTACGCCTGTCTTCGTAACGGTTTTTGTTGACGCCCCCCGACAGACATCGAGCAAAAAGCGACTTACATCGAAGCCCAGCCAATCGGGACTTGGTACGCCTATTTCTCGCTTCGATGTAAGTCGCTGTTGCTCGATGTAAGTCCGCGTTTTAACTCTGCGCATCCTTTCTAGTAGAAAGGATGCGCAGAGTTAATATGATAGATTTCCTTGATCTCCAGCCTGCGATTGCATCGGATTACTGTATAACCGTAGTCTAGAGTAGCTGAACAGAGGAGGCAGACGGCCTTTTATTCCTGCCTCGCGCCAATGGAAATGTTGCCCGCCGCTTTCCCTGCCTGACTCGATCACAGATACTCGGATTGTACGTACAATACAAACCGGCTGGCACGCAACAGTGGGCAACACCATTGCTCCAATTTTCTAAATTTCTTGTTAACGTTTCGCGATCTTCAGACCAGAACTGTTTGCCGTAAATGGGGTTGCTCAGCAGAGGTGGTAAAGTGCAGACCGATGTCCGAACTTGGCAACTGAAAGGCCAAGCTGGTCAGTCTACCGCTTGTGTAACCGTCCGCGACCAGACCCCTTTATTGATAAACCGGATAAATGATAAACCATAGACAATATGATGATAGACGATAAACAATGTGATAGAAATAGAAGGGTGTGGAGGGCGGGTTTTCGCTTTCGACGGCAATTTCTTTTCAAACTATTCCGAAATTAAATAAAATATGCTAGTATAACTTAAGCTTAATATGCCACGTCCATCGGAAGTTCTGCATAGCAACACGGTAAACTTACGATCGCACGTTAACGACAGTTATTGCTGTACAATAACTGACATTATTTACATACTGCTTTTCGGAGATATTGGCTGCATCCAGTATCTCCGAAACAGTGGCAATAACCAGCAAAATGCCGGCTTGAAAACAGGTATTTAAAAGAACTTGTATGTGTATGTGCATGCGATGTGCATGATTCCGGGACGGTGAACGAGACCGGACCGGGGCACCGCGTTACGCGTGGCACCTGGATGATTTTGTGGCAGCATGCCGCGGTCTGCCACGTGTGAGGCCATTCAGCTGGTCCGCGGTGCTTGGTCGCTCTGGAGTACGGCCGGCTGCGAGCGTATGAGTACCTTGCCGTGCAGCTGGACGTCGATCTGCCCATGACGCGTCTGCCGCTGACAGTCAGCCGTGCTTGCGCATGTACAGCTTCTGGAGAGCATTGGACGCGGCGTTGCCGGCGGCGAACGACGCTGAGGTGCAACGGCTTTCGGAGTGGTTGGCGTCGATTGCAGCGGAGGAGAGCAAAGGGTTTCACCGCATGGCCGTCTGCAGAGTACGTACGAACATGGAAATTTCATCAATTTCTCGTTAACAACCATGAAAATCAAACAGGGAGCTAGCGTAGTTTTCTGGAAGTACAGAGTACAGCGTAGGATAAAAACCTTTCCATCTTCATTTAACGCATCAAACGATTCTTTGTTCGTTTTCCTTGCTGGTGGTTTATACTTCGACATTCTCGTTATTTTAATTAATTCCGCTGTATGAATTAGTATGTGAATCACCCACAACTCAACTTCTCCCGTGTTGGTCTTGACAAAAACATGATTACAAAAACATGATTACAAAAACAGTTAGGCTATCCGTTCGGTAGAGGGATTTATAATTTATATGTTGATTTACACAGCGGAAGTGATTAAAATATTGAGAATGTTGAAATGTGTGTATTGGGTGTGCTCCTGTTGAGTGTTGCACACTCCATAATACGTACTGTAGTTTGATCCGTGGACCGATTTCGACGATTCATTGTTTGACTGTACTTCGTCACTGTACCATGATTGAAGGGGAGACAGTTACGGCGTGCGGCAGCGATCCAGAGCTTGCGGAATCGTTTCCATTACTAACGCATTTTCTTGGTTTGGTAGTTGTTATGCACGACGTACGCGCAGACGGCGGATCCGCGTCCGTCCTTACATTACCGCGGGAACCAGTGGTGGACGGATGGACTGCAGGATCTTCGCTGGGAGAAACCATCTCGCATTGCACTGCGCTTCCTTCTTCTCCTGCCCGAATGCCTGCGTTTTGAAATCACTTACTCACCGGCCTCGTCGGACTCAGGGTAACCGTGCCGGTTTCCACTCCTGTATACTATATACTGATTTGTGATACTTTTTGTAACGGCGTTGTTTGCGTTTTTGTGGGCGCTGCGGGAGCACACGCACTTTGGCTTTTTTGGCACTTTTAATTTCTAAGCACTAAGTTTCTAGCCAACAAAATAACTTAAATAAAAGCGCTCATGGCCATAACATCATCAGAATAAAGATGCCGGTTGGACTGGTTACTGATCTGTCAGGTTGCCACCAAATTTTACACCACCACCATATTTTCCATTACGCTGAAAACACCAAGTGCAGACAATGTTTCGATTTTACGTAAACGAAAATTGAAATTCACTATTTCCAACAAACAGGTATTCTTAAAAAATAAAAGGCACAAAATAAAATATTAATAGTTACTGAAAAACAGTCTCCACGAGAGGGGTTTATAATCTCATTCATTCTCTCCTAGATTTTGCTAAAATCTGTGGAATGCTCAATACATTTTACGTACAAACGCGGAAAAGAAGAAAATGGAAAAAGGAATAAAAAACAACACAGAAAATTAATGAGCAAATTGCAAATTGTAAAGTATGTACATATCAACTGCAAACTATAATCTGCCAGTTCGAATGGGAATTCCATTCAGAAATGACTTCCGGTTCCAATACGCCTGACGCCTGACACAATTCCATTTATGATTTTTAAAAGTTAGAATTTTCGTATCTGTAACCAGTAATCGGGTCCATTAAAGCACTTCGGGTACTTCAAAGCAGCTGTTTTATTTTGCTTGCTGCTTGTACAAGTACAAAATTGATTAATCTATTATATCTAATAAATTTCCTAACGAAAACGATCATATCTCCTGCGGAACAGATTTGTTTAGCCGGATCAGGACCGGATCATCCCGTCCATTCGTCCGCAAAGCAAAGAGCCCTGAGCATCTCGGACCAGGATCTGTTTGACTGTTTCAGCAGTGTGGAATTATTTATTATACAGAACAGTAACAGACATTTATACTCGTCAGTATCTGTGTGCTGTCTGCACGTGCAAATTGTGCAGCTACACAGGCGCAGCAGTTTAAATTGCTTCTACTGACTGCAAATTAGGGATCCCTACCACTGCCCGCCCTCGCCTTACCACGGGACTAAGTGATGCCACGGAATCCGTGCACCACTTCTTTCCGCGGTAAAGCGCTATCCGTGCCACGGATAGGTTACCAGGGTGTCTGGCTCTTCGCTGGATGAAATTATCCCACCTTGCACAGAGTCTTCCCTTCGGATTTCCCCGGTTAATAGCGGACCAGCGCGCTTCCCGCCTACTCTTGTGGGAAAAAAGTAATATTATCTTTTTGTTACGGCGTTGAACCGATTGGTGTGTTGGCGACCCACCGTCATGTTACACATGGCGTGTGTGTGTTTTTCCGGAAACGCGCATCTGATCAGTTTTTGATTTAACATTGGTTTTCCAACCTGCGTAGTAACTTACGGTTGCGTAAAAGGCAAAGCTGTAAAGCCAACACGATTATTGAAATGCTGTGAATGAATCAGTAAAAGTCGTAGTGTAATGGCACCATAAATGCAGCTAGAGCTAGCCTACATGGTTTGAATAGACAACAATTACTGTCGTCACTGACTCACCAAAAAATCATATGTCAAAGGCTCCTGCTTGTAGCTGACGTCACACCGAGTCTTGAGGCTACGCAGACTATCGACGCACGCATATAAAGTTCGTACGCGTATGCGGACTTATAATTTTCTGGAAGTCACAACTGTGCATCTGTTCAATCCGTTTCGCGCTGGCTCATTGCGTTGTGCTTTCTAATATTTTATGGTGATATCATTTTATCAGCAAACTGATTTTATAAATTATATTAATTAACACTTCAAAATTCTTTACCTGATTCGTAAATTAAAAAAATACGTGCTATCAAATCAACGCTTTAACTATCAGCGCCTGTTGAAAGGCAAAAAGATTGAAAGGCAAAAAGTTGCTTAAAATTGCGAGAACCGCAAACATTGCCAGCTCTGACAAATTCAAGCTAACCTAAAGCCTAACCGTCTTTTAAGTATTTCAGGAACCCAAGAAACCTAGCATTCTTCAAGAAAGGTGACAGCGGCAAAGCCATCTGCAACAGAAAATGCAGTCGTTATACGTAACAGCGTGCATCACACTCGACTACACGGTTTTTGCGTAGAACAATCACACAGTTGATCCCATAGTTTATCTCACAGTATACCACAAAGTTGACCCCACAGTGGATCCCAAAGTTTACTGCATAGTAGACTTCACAGTTTACCCCATAGTAAGCCATGCAGTGAAATTTGGCCAACATTTTGCAAAGAAACCAGAATTTTATTGCCGTAAGTCATTAAAAGTATGATATTATGTCACTATTTACAACTGAGACTTCACTTGTTTGTACTGTTTATACTTTTTTTAGGTACTCCTACTCTTCTTTTAGAATTTGTTGCGCCATGTGCGAGCTTCCGGCGGACTTTTTTCAACAAATTTTGCCCCCTTAAAAACGGGGGCTACCGATCACTTCGGCCGTTTTCATTTCGGCCGCGCTCATTTCGGCCAAACTTTTTCGGCAGCCGTTAATTTCGGCCGAGGCCCAATTCGGCCGCAGTTCATTTCGGCCGACGCTCATTTTGGTCCAATTTGGGCAAAAACGTTACTTTTGATGTGATTAAATGGTACCATAGCTAACTATTCCTAACTATTCCTTAACTATTCCTTAAGAATAACAGAAGAATAACCAAAGAAAACCGAAGAAACCTAAGAAACCTAAGAATTCTAAGAACCTAAGAATTCTAAGAATTCTAAAAATTCTAAGAATTCTAAGAAAATCTAAGAAAATCTAAGAAATCTAAGAAAACCTAAGAAACCTAAGAAACCTAATAAACCTAAGAAAGCTTTTTGAATAACCTAAAAATAACCTAACTATTACTTAAGAATAACCGAAGAATAACCAAAGAAAACCGAAGAAAACCTAAGAAACCTAAGAAACCTAAAAAATCTAAGAAAACCTAAGAAACTTAAGAAACCTAAAATAATAACCTGGAAAACTTAAAAAACCTGAGAAAACCGAAGCAAGATAGCGAAAATTAGGAAAACTTCGGAAACTGAGGATGGCCAATTGTCCTGTTGCCGAAATCAGCGGCGGCCGAAATGACTGCTGGCCGAAGTGAGCCTCGGCCGAAATGAACGCATGCGGCCGAATTGTAACGCGGCCGAAGTGATCGGACGCGAGAAACGGGCCTGTCTAAAACCATTCTGTATCGACCAGCTCCAAATATTTGTAAGATTGCGTTTTTTAGCCTTAAAAATAATCTTACAAATATTTGGAGCTGGTCGATAGAATAGATAGAATAGAATAGATTACGTGTTTTATCCTTAAAAAAAATCTATTCCATTAAAATGTTATTAAGAGACTGCCGTGCCGTCAAACTCAAGTTCTATCTCACAGCAAACAACGCTGGTCAATTTGCAGTCTATCACACAGTATACCCCATAGTAAACTACACAGTTCAATTTGCAGTTAACCCCACAGTGTATTTAGCAGTTTAGAACACTCGAAATGCTTAGTTGGCGTTGTTGCATGACATTTTTGCTAGACAGTTCGCCGCATATAACTAATTCTTGCTAAAGTTTTTAGTTTTTATTTATTCGGTGATATGGAGAATTACGGGTAGCAGACCACGCACCATAACGGAAATTTTGTGCAAGTTGGTTGGTTAGGCAGAAGTGGGTTTCAAAGCAGACTCGTGAAATCAGTTTGTTTATTAAAAAATAATTTTAACATTTTGCTATCACAAATAGCTGTCCCTCACCGGCTTTTCAACAGCCTGGTTTTGAAACTTGTTCAAATACCATGATAATGGAAAAAATGGAGCAATAATAATTTTTGCTACGTATAAACTTTCTTGAGCAAGAAAGTGGGACGCACCGAAACTTCCGAAGAAAATTGTAAAAAGTCGCTCAAAAAGCCACTTTCTACGGTTTTTCTGAAACTTTAAGCCATACACCAATTTGCGCGGCTGCCGCGAAGGCCTGCACCACCCCCTTCCAAATGCTGAAGGGTTTAGACATAGTTATAACTACCTAGTTTTAAATGTGTCTAAACCATTCAACATTTTCGAAGGAAAAACGCTTTTTTCTACGATTTTAGAAAAATCGTAAAAAATGGCTTTTTGAGCGACTTTTTAACAATTTTCTTCATAAGTTTCGGTGCGCCTGCTGTGAAAGTCCCATTTTTTTGTTACAATACAGTAATTGCTGTCCGTGGTAGTCGTGCTTCGAGAGTGATTAACTGAGTGCTATCTCACCATGTGCTAGATGCCTGAATGCCACAGCCAACGCTCTCTTGCAGCTCTTTGCGCAATTTTGCAAGCTTGCTCGAATAAAAAAAAATGTCGGCGTTTTCTAATAAGGAACTCTTAAGACACGACTGCCACGGGCTGCGGGAATAAATTGCTATTCTTGCATGTTTTGAGCAAAGCTATGGTGAGATTTTCTAAAAATACAGAAAACATTTTACAGAATGTTAGTTGTTTCAACAAATGATCTCTACAATATAATGAATTGGAGTTTCTGTTTTCATAAACGATATTATTTGTGATTGCTTAATTATTGACTTGAAACAGCTACACCAATCTCAGTTTTCTTTGGGAATATATTGCGTCGCCAAGCTAACAGGAAAGCCGGTCGAGTTTCTTACCTGAGATTGAACCTAGATTTTACTGCATAGCTTACTATGTGGTAAACCCTTTGGTTTACTGTGCAGTTAACTGTGGGATCAACTGCGGGGTCAACTATGTAGTTTGCTGTGAGATAAACTATGGGATTAACTGCGCGATTCGTATGAGCACAAACCGTTTGTTAAGTGTGATGTGCTCTATTACGTACAACGACTGTCTTATCTGCTGCAGACGGCTTTGCCGCTGTCACGGTTCTCGGAAAAATGCTTGGTCTCTTGGGTTGTTCCTGCCATTTTTCACGAACTTTATCAAGTTCGACAGTTGATCAAAGAATCGCTGCTTAGTCGAAGATGTTGTTACTAAATATAATTTTAATATGGATTTGCTTATAAAACGGTATCACCTTAGATTTCAACAAATACATCACAATGAGATAGCGCAGTTCGTGATATTTGTACCAATTTCCACTGGTTTTATAATTGAAAATAAAAATGCTGACTTTCAGAAAAGCGTGAAGTCCGCATACGCGTACGAGCATACTACGCGTGCGTCGTTAGTCTGCGTAGCCTCAAGACTCGGTGCTGACGTCGCTATAAGCAGGAGCCTTTTACAAATGATTTTTTAGTTCACTGACTCACTCGTAAAGGGAAAATAAGTAAAAATGAAGAAATACTGCGGTGGTCAATTACAGTTTAGCGCCTATTTTTTCTGGGACTACAGGCAATATTGCCAATTAATAATAATAGCCTAAGAGTCATATCAGAAGGGGCGAAAAACTGCACCACCGCAGTATTTCTTCATTTTTACTTATTTTCCCTTTACGAGTGAGTCAGTGACGACAGAAAACTGACAAGCTTTACAATATTAATATGTAGAAACGAACTCTGTTCATTCATTTCTTAAACTCTGCAGAGCACGTAATAGATTTTGTCACGAACCAATGCCATGTACAAATAAACCACATTTCACAGACAAAAAATCCTACGGCTGACTGACTGTCCGGTGGCAACATATTGCTGTAATTATTAATTTATTGGTATTCGAACGCCAGCCAGTTTATTTATGTTTTATGGCATTGGCAACACCACCGGCACGAAGCCAGCACCCAAATAACCGGCCTGCCAGCTTTCATTTGGTCCACAAACGCCCGTTGTCGCTCGATCCCTTTTCACTTTCAATCAGCCAAATTAACAACCGCGCAGCATCACCGAACAAAATAACAATAATTTTCAGATATCCGGTTATTCGGATCACATCATCAGCTGGTGCGCGTGCTGTATCTGTGAGCGGCGTTTGAGGAAGGTGACGCGGTTGCGGGGTTTGTGGTAGGGCTCATCGGTCTCGTCCTCCGGCTGGAAGATCTTCCGCTTGGGAATGTGCGTCCGCAGCGCCTTATCCCAGTCGCCGTGCCGTTTCACGTCCACCAGCATGCCCACCACCTGGTTGATCGTCAGGTTCTTGTGACCCATCGCCCACCTGCAGCAGCAAATTATTATAAAGACGGACTCCATGATAATTGTAGATAATAATGGATACTTCCAGATACTTATATAAAAAATGATAATAATAGATAACTGTGCAATTAATATTAAACAATTTATATCATACTAGATAACTGTGCTCCATGATAACTGTAAATTAGGGTGAAAATCACAATTTTCTCAATTTTTAAAGTTTTTCTTTCAACAGCACCACCGGCATTCGAGCATTTGAAACAAATACAGTAATAAATAATTGTTTTAGTAAAAACACACTTTGGCCTGTAATTAATCTGCGCCGGTTTCGCGCTCGTTGCGATTGGTAAATAATCAAACATCTAATTAAAGACGATAAAAAAGTACAAGCTGACTTTTTAAGCTTAAACGCAAACAAAACAGAACGGTAAGAAAAAAATTTACAAAATCCCAAATGCTTTAATTAGTTGGTATTCAAACTACTGATAGTCCACAACTGGCAGGATTCGAAACACCCAGCGTACTACAAGGTTTAACGTTCTTATCACATCGCAAAATATCAAGAGACTGAGAATGTTCATTTAAAATTAAAATTCAAGGGTACGTACATAAATATTTAAATGTAATTTTTTGCAACCAAGTAATCAAATTAAAACAGCGACAAACTGCACCCTACCGGAGATAGATATCAATTGGCAGTTTCGCCATCCGCACTCCTTCGCGTTTGGCTTTGGCCAGGGTCAGCGGTTTGGGATGCTGCAGGTCGACGAGGCAGCCGATGACGTAGATATCGTCATCGTTGAATTCCTTCAGGACAAACTCGGCGTTGGGCGTCAGGTAGACGATTTTCTCCTTGGGGAACATGTCCAGATAGCTCTTCTCCGAGAATTCCATCAGACACGACGCCGACTCCAGATTGCCCAGCGCTCCCAGCATATTCTTATATACAGGCCCCTAAGCCATAAAATAACGCTGATTAAACAACGTCATCATTAGCTTTCATTGTCATTATCTAATAAAGAAGTGTCCAGCAATATTTGACAATTTCTCGACAAAAACGTGCCGAGAAATAAATCCTGTAATTACTAAAATAGCAGGGAAACGAAAAGGAAGGGCAAGTAAGCAGTAAGGCAAGCTCTTCATGTTCGTGTTTTCGAGTAATAAAATTCAATAACTACTCCCCGACAAATGTTTTAAATTTGTATTACCTACAATTCCAAATATCATCGGCTTCTACGGTATGGAGAAAAATTTTTAATTATTAAAAACAACAAAAATTTCTCGCTGGCGAACAGAACAATTCGAATCGCTCTTTCAAAGCATACATGCAAATTACAGAAAATATCCGAACAAAAATTGCTATATGTTACTAAGGCAGAATCTCCATGCTATTTTTACAAGCGATAATTCACCTGATAACTGATACAAAACGCTGAATTTATTTTAATTTAATTAACCCAGAAACGGTAGATCCACCATCGTCCATTTCACTGACAAAACAGCTTTCATATTTCCGCTACCTGGAAGTTGACATTACAAAACTGCAGCCAGAAGGGATCCCTGGCATCCCGATTGTAGGAGTAGGAGTTGCGCAATTGGACGGCGGTGTTCCTCTGCTCGCGCTCCGACATCCACTCGTCGAAGCCCAGATCGAAGACCAGCGGCTGTCCGATGCAGCGGGCCCGCGCCAGTTTGTAGTTCTGCGTTTGCAGCATGTCCGCATCGCGGATGTAGGGGAACATGGTGTTGAGCAGCAGTCCGTACTGGATGGCATTCGGGTCGGCTTCGCGTTGCTGCGTTAACATCTCATGCCGCTCCCGCAGTTTCTGTTGAGCAGAAGCACACACCGATAAAGCATAAAATATACAAAAATCAATAACGCCAATGAATTATGATTACTGACAAATTTTCCAAATTATCTACCATTCGCAGCGATCTATCTACTTCGAGTAGCACATTCAACGATTCATGTAGAAAACTGACTCGGTAAAAATTAGAAAATTAACACTAAAACAGAAACATAAAAATCATAAAATTAATGCTACAGCAGGAAAATCAAAATAAAAAAAATTAATATTTCAGCAATATTTCAGCAAAAATTAATATTTCAACAAAATTAATATTTCAGCAAAATTAATATTTCAAAATAAAATCTGAAAATTACACAGTACTTAACTGTAAATTTGTAAAAATTCGTTTATAATTTATTATTAATACGGTAATTCTTTATAAATCTCACCCAATCATTCCGTCAAAATCTACGTAATACTTCATGCAAAAATCCACAAATCTTCGTAGAATTCAGCGCCATAAATAATCATATTCTGTCTAGAAAATTTCATAGCGAACGAAGGAAAACCCGCGCGCTACGTTCCAGATTTATAAGAAACCTGTACAGAAAATGCAGAAAACGTAAGGCAAATAAACTAAGAAAGCGGAAACTGCTAAGAAAAATACCGCGCACTATAAAACGGGATTATTCACTAAATCGTGAAACAACCAAAACAAAAAACCTTTTACGTAACCGTTACCAGTAAAATCCATAGAACGTGCTGCTGAAAAAGGGTGCAAAACTAGCAAAGTACCTTCTGATTTTCCTGCTTTTCTCGCTTGATTTTAAGCTCCGACATCTCGATCTTGAAGAGGTAGCTGTAGTACTTGAGGCGCTGATGCTTGGTCGGCATCGACATCATCTTTCTCCAGTGCTCCGGAGTGATGACGCTGGGGATTCTGTATCCCGACTGGCGCAGCACTTCGGTCTCGAACTGCAGAATCTGGAAACGGCGCTCGTCTTCCTCGGACAAACCGGGCAGTTTGACAAAGTTCAACGACTGCTGCAGCGACGGCGGAATGGAGGTGATGTCGTCCCTGCCATCGGAGATGCTGCGGAAATGCGGATGACAGAACGGGGCAGATCGGGATAACAACAAACTCGATGGAGAATGAGGCAGCGGAGAACGCAGCAGCGAACGCGATGTTGTGGATGCGACGAGTGTGCTCGCTGTGCGGATCAGAGCGCGCAGTGAGATGGATGAAGACATTGTGATTATGCAAAGATTAATTTATTTAAAATATTATGACACCTCCAAGATCAAACAAAACATCGTGACAATTGAATTATCACAAGGTAAACTACTAAACTTTAAAAAATCAAAATTAAAAATTAAACAACCGCGAAAATGGCAAAATAATATCCGAGTAAGAAGTAATAAAATTGCCACAAGTGGATCCGAAATCCCAGTGATTACTGTAGTTGGCCTCATAAATTCCATTGCCGGCTGCGTGGAATTGGAAACAGCAGTTTCTTCACTGAGCCGCTGCTTTCCGACTTCCGGCTCCAATACCAAAACGCTGTTTTGGAAATGGAACCGCTTTTAGCTTACGCAATTTCTCGCTTTGGGATTTTCGGATTTTTTTTCAGTCACAATTACAAATATTCTCTGCGTTTTGATTTTTGAACAATAATTTATACTGTCTTTTTTTGCTGTTTCGTCTTTTATTGCATCCCAAAGATCTTGTGTCAAGTTGTTTAAGGTGTTTCACTATCTGCGCTTCCTCTTCTGCTCAAGATTCACAGTCTTCACCAGTTGTCTGGAGCGAACGACGCTCGTTCTGCGCATCCACTGAACACACCGCGATCTCTGCACAGTCATGGCGTTTGACGAGCGGAGTTCGCCGTTCCCCTTTTGCCAGCGGTGATCCCAGTCTGGGGCTTCCCGGTGCGGATTTATCTGGCCGACTACGTTTTCCCGTAACCTGTTCCCTCTAAATGACGAGTAATGTGTTGTTGTTGCAGTATTCGCGGGAGCCATCCCGGCGCTCTCCTCGCCCTATCTGAATTTTGATCCCGCGGTCCTCCAGGAGGGTCCGCAGTACATCTTCCCCGAGGGAGCTGCGAACAAGCGGGGACGCTTTGAGCTGGCTTTCTCGCAGATCGGCGGATCGGTTATGACAGGTAGGATGCAGATTGTCCGTGTTTTGGATTTTATAAAGCCTGCGATGCAGTATAAATTTTGGGAATGGCTCACACCGTAACGAATGACAAGTTAACATAGGGAGAAAATGAAATTAAGAGGAAATTTTACTTACTTTTCTGAAACCTTTATTATGGCGTACATGTGTTCGGTATCGGTTGATGAAAACGTTTTGATTGCTGATTGAAAATTGAAGGTTAACTGTAATCATCAGTGTAATGGTACAGTAATTACGTATCGGATTTTAGTTTGGAATATAAGTTGTGCATCAATGATCGTAGTGTAAGGGCGCTGTTCAGGGAAAGACGAACTCATTGAATGTGTGCTGGGTAATTCTTCTGTCCGTTTTGCTTCCAGTATTTGAATAATTTTTTCTTTCCACTTCGGTATGAAATATGTTGAGCAACAGAATAATTTCACGATTTCTTTGGTTTTACTTGCAGTCGATTTCGGAGAAATACAGCATTGACTTTTGAGAAAGTAATTGTGATTTAAGAAAACCTGGTGAAACTAATATCTAATATCGTGTGTTGCAGAAACTGTGTTACTGTGGCCTGTTATAGTGTTATTTCTTGAATGTTCTCTGTTAATCGATCGCTTTTAATACAGTAAACAATAGATACTATGTAGTACAGTACCTATGTGAAACGAGTTTGGATGAGTTCGTACTTCGCACACGCTACGTTTCTTGAAATGTAGATTAATGTTCTTTGAAGGCATGTTCTTTGAATTGTAGATAAACAGCATATCCTCTGCTTTTACTTGCAGAAACGTCTTCATTATGTGTAGTGGCTATAATATGCAGGGTTTATCAGCCTAATTAATTTTTGCCTGCTGTCCTTCTGTTTCACTGCCGTATCCCATAATTATCATAATATCATTACACACTGTATAAATATAGATATAGATATACTAATACCAATACGAGGTACTTAAAAGTACTCGTATTTATAATAAAAGAAACAGCTTCTCCGCCGCCGGGCTCCGCGTTTCTTGTGATCCACGGCCGGTTTGAATGGAGAATTCGTTTAGTTCATTAGTATTGACGTAAATGTATTAACAGCCTTAGCAGTGATTGTACAACGTCTTGAGGAAAGACTCCAGAATCTAGATTGGATTGCTGATGTGTCCTACCAAAAAATTATAAGTTGAAACAGATGGACTGGACTGTAGTAAGCTCGGTCACACTTTCACCTAAAGATTCTTCTCACTGGACAATGGGGTAGTTCGGTAATTCACTCGTCTTGGTAGCTGTCACTCGCCACTCGCTCATCGAGCTTCTGATCATTGGACACTGGTGATCGCTCGGGCACTCGTTCAGATCCAGTGATATTTCTTACTGGACAGTGGTAATAGCTCGGTTACACACTGTTCTAAAGATTTTGCTCATTAGACAGTGGTGGTAACTCTAACACTCACTAATCTGCTCGCTGGGTGAGATTCTGCTCACTGGGTAGTTCGGTCACTAACTCGTCCAGTGATTTTTTTCGCAGTGGTGGTAGCTCTGTCACTCACTCATCTACAGATAGAGATTCTCCCACTGGGCAGTGATGGTAGTTCGGTCACTCACTCGTCTTGTGATTTTTCTTACTGGTCAGTGGTGGTGACTCTGCAGCTGATTTATCTTACGGGACAGGGGTGGTAATTCGGTCACTCCCGCGTTTGGTGTAAATCTGCGTTGTTGATTAACCGAGACATATTTCGAGTTCAGCTTGTTTGGAACGCTTTAAGAAATATGAAAACTTTTTCTTTTTTGCGTACTTTGAATGACATATATCTATACAGCACAGACGCAGAAATCTTTTTCACCAGAGATAACACAGTTTGGCAGGGTTTTAGGTTTTAGATTTTGGCAAAATATTAAATTTAATTCTTAGATTAAACAGTGACCTAGCCGGCTTGAGTTCCCTTGGTCGTAACTGGACAGTACTGAAAGGTCGGCTGCTTCGAAAAATCTCCTTGTACTAGTAAACGATTTCTTAATCGTCGGCGCAAGTTTTTCACGCGGCTTGAGTGTACATTTCCACTCAGTTACATATTTTAGCCTGCCAGCCGGTGCTGAGTTATTTCAACATTAATTTGTCCTGTATCTTCTAAAAATCGGATCAATGCTTTCCAAAAATTTCTAGTAATCTTTGAATCTCTCAGCGCTCCGCCGAATATTTTTTTTCAGTTCTAATATTTCAAGGTCACCTTGAAAGCTGTACCGGAGCCAGTTTTGCCGGAACCGGCGTTGGTGGCATGGGCAAAATTATTTTTTTAAAGAAATAAAATGCATGTGACACAGTTTCGAAACATGCTGAATCTAATGGCGTTTACAGTTTTTTTCAACATGCTATAGTTTTCCCGATCTCATTGTCTCAGATTTTTATGTGGTTGTATTATAGATCTAGTTCCTTGATATGCTTTGCAAAAGATTAAAAATGATACATGCCGTGTTATATTGGCACAACAGCTTTAAACTCGTAATTACGTAAAACGTACAAGAATAATAATATGTTACAATAATTTTTTTGGTCAGTGAAAGCTATTTCATTATTTCACTACGCCTCCGGTTAAAATAAAATTGTATTTTACACGCTGAAAAGTGAAATCACAAGTAAGTAACACAATTGTCACCGAGATAGCATTGGTTGCGTACTGCATGTAAAATTCACACGTCAGATTGACGGTTTTTAATACGAGTATTTTAATACCTCGTGCATGATACGAATTACGAATACTCGGCTTGTCACTTTAATTGAGACAGCTCAGTTAAAAAAGCGAAACTCATTTTTTTATCATAATTAATAGTGTAAATGAATATTTTTTTTGTGTGTACATTTTGGTATACAAATGATGTGCGCCCTAAAATACTACAGTAGAGATAGATATATTTATTACGGAGCATTCGCTAGCGTAGTAAGATGAACTACGTATTATTCGAAAGGGTTGTTTTGCTATTAGCTTATTGGTAATTTGTGTGTATTTAGGCGCCCTCATCGGCGGCACTTCGGGCATCTACACCGGACTGCGCGACACCTCCGTGGCGGGATTGACGGGCGGAGCCCGGCGTGCTCAGATCCTGAATTATGTGTCCAAACGGGGAGCCTCCTACGCCAACGGCCTGGGCGTTCTCGGTACGTCCTGCAGTTTCGCTATAAATTAACCAGCAGAATCCAGCGATTGTGTCCGAAACACAGACACGTGCCTCACCCTTAAAATACAGCTGAATTTCTTGCTGTATACTACCGAAAAAACTGCCAACACCAGTAATAGTACAAAAAATAAAATAAAGAAAATGAAATGGTAAACATTAACATAAGCTAAAAAAATAAAAAGAATGAAAATGAACAGATAAAATTATTCTGTAAATAAAATAAACTGTAAATTGTCAAAACTTTTTGATTACAACCTGCCGGAACGCTCAAACGCACGCTAGCCGCAAAGTACTATTTTGTGGAGATATGGTAGTGTAGTGGCGCATGATTCTGGGACTGCAAAAGACGCTTGTTTGTGCCTTGTATTTCGTATCGCAGTTGTATTATTAATAATTAATTATCATAGTTTTTCGTTAATAATGATGGCTTTGTTTTACGCATGGCTACATTAGGGCTTTTCGAAAATAACTGGAAACGGAAACATTTCTGATTTCTGAATAATTTCATGGTGAATTTGTTACGTGTCCTTAATTGTTGATTGGGATTCTTTTTTTCGTTATTAATTTGCATTATTTAAGAATAACAACCAGTGTGTCGAGCGATTTTTAGTTGTTTCATCAGTGTCGAGTCCAAGAAAACCATATACATTTTTATTTGTATTAAAAAGGAATTATCACCGTACGGATATCGTACTATTGAAAAATACGAAAAGCTGTCATGTCCAGGAAATCGTTAACTCTTTTGTTGTTTATCACCAGTATGGAATTTTAACGGCAAAAGATGTTCCAGAATATTTATAAAAGTCAGAGCTGTATGATCAGTTGCAGTAACGGATATTGACAGTATTTCGTACTGAACGTGCATTCAGATTGCATTTTATGCAGTCAGAGGCAGACTCCAGGCGTCTCCAGCTAATATTTATTTTTATTTCCATAACTTCTGTTTCTTTCTACCCGGTCGTATCGTTACTTATCAATTTCTCTTCTACTGTGCATAATTGATTATTAATTCATTTTCATATGTCATTTATTTTATAATGAGTTTTTATTTCGTATCTCGTTGTCATATTTCATTTTTTCTCGTTTCTTTCTACGTAGGTCGCAGCCTTTCTCATTAATTTATTTTCTATTTGGCTTAATGCAGTTAATTGGTTATTATTGGTTTCTTTTCTTGTATGCCGTTTTATTTTATATCTGTTAATTTCTCTTTTTATATTTTGCAGCGGTGATGTATTCGGGATTCGGCGTGATCATCTCCAAACTGCGCGGCACCGACGACGAACTGAACACGCTGATGGCCGGCACCGCCACCGGACTTTTATACAAATCTACCGCCGGACTGCGACGTTGCGCGATGGGCGGGGCCGGCGGATTGGCCGTGGCGGCCGCCTACTGCCTGCTGACCAGTGGCGAGCGTGTACGACAGATTGTCGGCCTGTCATGAATCTGAATTGCCCTGCTAATGCTGTTTGACCGATGCGCTGGGTCCTTTTACTGATTCTTGTTTTATTGGTTGATTTTTCCTATGCGTGTCCTATTTGACAGAATCGTTAATTTGGCAGTTATTGTGGAATGGGAAGGGGTTCCTATGTTTGCGTGCGTGCTGACGAATGATAAAATACGGTGTGGATAATTTGGGAGAAATAATAAAGACCCCGATTGCGGTGAAATTTAATTAAGATTTTACGATTTTCTCTGAAATCAACGCAGCATCTGCACTGAATAACCGGTAATTATTGAATACAAATTTTGGTTAAAATCTGTGATAGTGGCGATTCAAGAAGAACAGAAACACATCACGAAAAATAGTTTCTCGGCGCTATTTCTCGGCGCTATAAACTGGTGTTATGTGTAAGAAAAATCAGTAATGGACTAATGGTTGCTGGAAATACAACCGTTCGATCTAGCCGATAAGTGCCCGTGTATGTAGTTTAGTATTTACGTACAGTATTTCTCTTATGCATGTTATTATGATTGCCATATTCTATCTGCGAGGTTTCTTCTAACGAGAACACCACGCTCAACTTCAAAAACAAATCAACACTGCGAAAAGATAAGTCAGCGCTAAAACCAGGCGCACCCGTTTCTGCGCTGGATTACATACACAGATTTTGGTTCCGATTTTTGGTTCTACTTTAACGACTTTGGTGTGGGCATCGCTTTTCGATCATCAGTTTCCGAATTCTGTCGGAACAGAAAACTATCAAATCTACTCGCCAGTTTTAAAATGCCTTAAATTATGCCGTATTGCCGGGCATGTACATGCATTGTATAATGTATTGCACGTACAAAACCGTTTATCTATTAGTCGGTAATATATTTTATTCTAGCATTTATTCTATTGTGTAAACCTAATTATGCGAAATACAAATTAATTAATGTATTCCAGCGCAAAACAAAATTAATCCCATTTTATGATTTTATAATGTCAGTATGCAGATTCTGGCGCGACATTTAATTACAACGGAAGTTTTGTTAAAATAATTTCGATACTCGTATACGAGTACGAAAGTGATGCGGAAAAACTATGCTGACTTGGTCGTGTTTCCGTATATTTCCAATTAGCTTTGCGCAAATCCGACTGTTGCAATTATGTAGTGAGTTGGTCGTCTCTAAATCGCATCCCAGGTATGCGCCAACATACGGAAATTTAGTCGCTTGCGCACATTTTAGCAGCACTTTGCAGAACGGCTACTTTTTCGATGGAGCTAGCACGAAATCCGATCGACAACGACCCTTGGATTTTTGACCAACTGGGCTTTTAATTGAAGGAGAAAAATATAATGGCAGAGAATTTTAAAAATTCGTTAGATTCAGAAATCGTGCAGAACAGATGAAGCCAAAATGCACGCGTTCGCATTCTGACCGCATCACTTTCGTATGGGGTAGTATACTGCTATCAAGCGATAGCTGCTAAATGTAAGAAAAGCGAAAAGCAGCAGACGAAACGTTAATTGGTGGAAGCGGATAATTAAATAAATCGCAGGTAAATAAATCTTCCCGTGGAATGCAAGGCTGCGTCCGTTCGGCTGCCAACGGCCGGAGAGAACAATAGAAGGAGGAATTCGAAAACGCATCGTCGTTCGCTGGGCGAAATTTCACCCTGAATCGATCTGGGCACTTTCAAACGTTCGTTTTCGGTTATATAACGGGACGAAAGCGTGGCGCGCTTAACCATCGAACGCGCCACTGGGCTAGGGTTATCAAACTTGGGGAAATTACTTCGCCTCGCCGCTCCGTATTCCCACAATACATAACGCCCTTTTTTGTTTGGGACCGGGAAAAAATATAGAAAAAATCACAGAAACTGAAGGAGCAAATTCTGTGTACGCGTGATGTACTCTGTGTGTGTAAAAAACAATATTCTTCTATATAGAAAATTAAAGAAACATTTAACGACATTTTGATTTGGGTCCGGATGGTACCGTGTACGTACTCGTACGAGAGAAATCGACCAATCAAAAACCGGCAACTGACACAACGGAATGTGCTTGTCCCGGTCGAGTCTGCTATCCACTTTTTAAGAAGACAATTTTCCCGGATTCGAAAACCGAACGCCAACTTCTGTTGATCAGTGTGCAAGTCGAAGATTTCCAGTTCAGTCTAATTACGAGCACAGTTTACGATCAACGTCCACTAATTCACAAACTGTAAGTTCCGTATACCGGTTAATTAATGTAATATATTCTCGGGGGAAACTACTGTACTGTTTATTATTTATAGGAAAATTGCTGTTTTAACATCAGCAAATCTAAATGATGAAATTAACGTTATTCTTACAGATCTGTTTTTTTGTTGCAGCAGCCAATAATCTCCCTATCTGCGAAGATGTTGGAAAAAGCGCTAATCTTCCTCGCCGTTGCCCTTTGCGGGATCGTCCTTGTCAGAGGAGCGCCACCGGAAAAACCCGACGAGACCGCCCTAGTGACACCGGCTCCTACTTTCACCATTGTTACCGGTACATCGCCTACTTCACCCACTGAAGCGTCTCCGACGCCTACTGAAACGGTTAGTAGCACGGTTGGCTTTTTTATGCATCGTTTTTCTTACCAAATACGCAACGAGCATTTTTTACCGAATTTTAAATTATGGCTGCTTGGTTCGACGCGTATATGCCCGGCACCGGCACCGCCGCGTCCACTACCGTAGAAAAACGTTACGCAGTGCTGACCGTTTCTTTATCCCACTTTTTTTTTAAAAATTAACTGTGTCTTTTTTGACCGGATGTTAAAATATATGTATTTGAAACTGCACCAATCTGCCCGGCACATACACATAATGTTTTGTAATTAATTGCAGAATACAGCCACGACATCGAAGGTCACACTCCTGGCTACCACGGGGGTGAAACGACATCGCCTGCAATCACCACGCCAACGCCATCCATCCCGCCGAAAGATAAGAAGTATGAGTGGTAGTCGTTGCTGTGTCCATTATATCAGTAATACTCGTGCGTAGCAATTACTCAGGAGAAACCGCTGCCCGAATAAGCAGCGGTTTATCCAGTAGTCATTCTTGTATAATAAGAGCAGAATTTTGTGATGTTATTATAATACGGATACTTAATCGTTACCGAATATATTCGGTGAAAGAATCAATACAAATTATGAACCTCTTCACTTCAAGATCGTGTAAACCGCATGAAAAATACTCAGTTTTGTTGTTAGATACCATCCTGCAGTTTTTTTCTGTTCTTAACAGGGACGACTCTGGTAACGTTAACCAGCTGGAACTTATTAATCAGCAGGTTACGCTTGTACCTGGATCCACCGGGACAATTGCCCCAGTATGTTCATTGAACTTCCTGTTTGGCGCAGCTGTTTTGATATGTAGTACAGCATTTTCTGAAAGCATCTACGTAATTTATCTGCACTGTCTATCTAATGGCTAACCCATGGCCGATAATACCGTGTACATCGCCTTATTCGGCTACTTTACATTTAAATTGGAAGCTGACTACCTTTTTCATTGCAGGGGGCTAACGGCGCTGGACGCTTGGCGGAGGCCTTGGTCAAACCCTGGCCGTTTCTCCTGATGGCGCTTTTCTGGGCCTAAACGACGGCGGATGCCAACGACGGCGCATCCATCATACTCTTGTTTTTATAATTATTATGTGTTCTGTTCTCTGGCGCTGCATGATTACGCCACAATCACCAACACTTGATCATGTGCATGTTGTACCTTGTTCTGTACTTATTTTTTTGGCTGTTTAATCTGTTTTTACCGTCTGATAATTAATATCAGCCGGCAAAAACAGGTGACTGCCGAAAAAATACATACAGAACAAAACATTTTGTTTTGTTTCGTAATACGACATGACAGCGTTTAAAATGTTTTAGTGCTTGTCGTGTTTCTGCCGTTAAATTACGATGTCATCATTCGAATAAAATTGATAGTGCGGTACATACGGTATTCTAACTACAGCTACCTATACGTTGTATTCTATTAGCTTTTTACTAGTTATCCATAATTTTACTTTACTTTTATAAGTACTTCGTACTATTTTATTGTTAGTACAATAATTAAAGTCAAACTAGGAGTGCACTCGTTTTCGGTGGGCACTGCATGATCGAAGCGTAGCAGCTGAATTTATGGTAAATAAATTTATATTTAGGTTGTAGCGGTATATACTGGAGCAGCCTAATATTTTGATACATTAATAAAAGCCATGAAAAATTAGTATAATAATTTCAAACTTTCCCATTGTCCTATTACATATATAACGTTAATACTAAACTTTCATTAAACTAGACGCTAATCAGCACGGATTACGATAATTAATAATAATTCTTATCATCTGCGTTTGAAAAAGCTTATATCTGTATCTGTAATTTACAGGTGACGAGTGTAACACTAATTTTATAAGCGCATACAGTACATGTGCAAAATGTACTTAATGAAATTTTTTAAACGTATTCACTTTTTAATCGTTTTTGTGCCAACACTGTTAAAATTAATGCAACCGGTAATATTATACCGGCAGAGACTATAACTGCGCATATTCGCATAATTACGATATTTACGTATACACGTACGAATGATCACCACGTCTGTACACCCCGCTTTAGCAGAAAGAGATACTAGTATTGTATGGCATAATTTTTAAAAATCTTAACGTTTTCTGTGTTCCTTTGAAATTTAATACAGTACAGATACATGGAAACCCTAAAAAATGTTTTAAGGACAAATTTGAAAGAACGTAATAATCGAAATTCCAGAAAACAGGAAACCGGCGAAGAAACAAGCGTAAAGGACACTGTCGATGATCTTCTGCACTGGAAGTTCATGATAATATTATTACTGTAGTGTAAATAGGTAAAAAAAAATACAGTACGTAATATTATACATAGTGTAATCATGATTTCAAGAAAGTGAGCACGCTCGATCAACCGTAATTACCGTAATTAAAATAAATGACAATCATGAAAAAATTCAACTCAACATATCTTACGAATCAACAAATAATACTCGTATTATTCTTCCGGTTGTCGCACTGCTGCCATTTAACAACAAAGTAATTATTATTTAAACAAACCTAGAAATAACAAATTTCAACAACAGCAGGCGCAGATTAAACTTTCGATCTGTAGCTAGCGGATAAATAAATAAATGCAAAATAAATAAATCTTCCTGTGGTTGTGTTGGCATGGCTGCCATCAACCGAAGAGAACAATAGACGAAGGAATTCGAAGCGCATCATCGTTCGCTGGCCGAAAGTACACCCAAAATCGAAATGGACACTTTCGTTCTCTTCGTCGCCCCTTACATAACGGTACAAAAGCGTGGCGTGCCCAACCACCGACCGCACCAATGCGTAAATGGCCGTAACCGATGTAACAAAACGGTCGGAACTGCTTCGCCTCGCCGCTCCACAATCCTAGAGTATATAGCGCACGTTTTCGTTTTTTTCGCTTAAAACTCAGAGAAAAAATTTTAAAAAAATCAGACGAGCTGGACTGCTGGAGACTGCAGTACTTACTGTACTCTGTACGTAAAAGGATTTCTTTAGCAATTTCATGTGGAAAACAAAGAGATAGATCTCTTCTGCACTGTTCTTATTAACGCCGAGAAATCGACCAATCAAAAACCGGCAGTTGGACACGCTACTTACTGGTCCCGGTTGTTCATCACTTCGTTACGGGAAAACGATCAACACTAATGTCAGTTGTCAGTTTTACACGTTGAAGATTTCTTATCTGCTGAAAGTTACAAGTTAGCGTAGATCGAAACCACGAATTTGTATCCTGCATAACGGTAAAGTTGTTAATTTTATTCCCTTAATATTCTGTGCCCTTTATTCTTCTGCAGATCAGTTTTCCGTAGCAAAATCACGTTTTCACTGATATATATAGTGTTGTTTTTACAGATAATATTTTCCCATTATCCACACTTTCCCCTTTTCAAGAACGGACAAGATGTGGGTGAACGTTGATACCTTCCTGGCAGTTGCCCTTTGTGGGATCATCCTTGTCTGTGGATCACCCACGGAAAATCCTGATACCGGTGCACCACCGACCTCTCGCTATGGAACATTTGCGAGGTATCCGCCGAGTGACAATACAATGGTCAGTACTGCCGGAAATGGGTTTACTGTTTGCTTGTACATACTGCCAAGTTTTTGGTCAAAAAATTACTCAACTGGCATGAGTGGCGTCTCTCTAAATTGTCTATTGATAATATACTTGCTATTGCAGATTTCCTATTTAAAAGTACTTTTGTGAGCGATGCATGTTCATCTCTATCTGTTCAAATATTGCTAATACAGTCTGTAATTTACAACCACTAACATTGATTATAATAATGATGATATCATTAACCAATTTACAATAAATGCCGAGATGTTGTATTAATTTAAATAAAATGGTTTCTCTGTGCCGCGTCTAATATATGGTAGAAATGGGTTGACGATTGATTATGCCTATGACGTACGCACTGCTAACCGTATCTTTGTCGCCCTTTAAAAATCAGTCTTTCGTTTTAGTTTCTCATGGTATGGCCAACATACAGTTTTTTGCATATGTTTTAAAATCGCAAAAACTAGAAGCGGCATATACACACTTACTGTACATGTTCTTATAATGCTCTTATCAATGATAGAACGAACCGAGCCCATCACCGATTGATCCCATCCCAACCACCTCCGGTGACAGACCCGTTGCAACTCACCAGCCGGCAGCGGAAAAACAGTATGAGATAAATCAATAGATAAATGAAGTAACAATCAGGAAACAGTATCTTCAGTGCTTCGCAGATGGTAACTGTACTATTCCTTGATCGCGCACATTTACTTTTTGTGCCTAGTAACTTCGAAAATAATTTTTTTTACTAGTGCACATTACCGGTACGTGTAGTCGTATTACGATACAAGAGCATTTACGTAATTTTCGTCGCATTTTCTAAATCATATTAACGAGTAAAACGGCCATGGAAAGTTAACCAGACCTGTTACATGAAGGGTCGTAGCACATTTCTGTGATAGCGTACGGTATTCTGTTCCGTGTAGGGATGGATGGAAGATGGCGAACAGTCCTATCGAGTCGGCCATAACGGAGATTATTGCAACCACCGCGGCCAGGGTATGTTCTCCTCCGTTTTTCGCGCTGTGTGCGTTGCATGTACAGATAGTGCTGCATATATATCCATGAATTAATATTTCGTAGCCTGGCGACCTTATGGGCGAGGCCGCTCCCGATCCTTCTCCCTCACCCCTCGCAGCGCAACGACATACGAGTCGACAGATACCGACCACTGACATCCCGGCACATACAGCTGCGCACCGGGAAATCCCGGTACCGCTTAATCGGAAATTTATTGCATCTTGTTGATGTATGACTTACGTATGTAATTTGCTGTTCTTCACAGACCACGAAAAAGTCAACGAGTCCAGTCAGCAAAACCGTCTCTGGGGTTGACATATTCGCGCCTTTCCGCTCGTTATTCATGTCCGCGCCACTAGTACTGCCTGCCAACCCCGATGCGGCCACAAGCGAACCGGCGTTTTCTCCGATCGTGCGGTTTCTCGGCGTCAGCTACGATATAATGCACGCCAACCCCTTCTCGATGTACTCGGATCCGGGATTGACCAAGAACAGCATAACATTCACTAATAACCTGCTGCAACTCACGTACCCGGAGAACGCTACCTGTCCGCTGTATGCTGCGTGCGCGCAGATCAACGGGAAGAAGAAAGTCAACCACGTGACGATCCCGGTGCCCACCTTTGCCGATTATCAGCGATACGTCAAAACCACCTTGGGATTAGCGCTATGGATGCCGGTAAACATTGATTACACTTAATATTATTGAGTGTACATTAAAAAATGTCTGCAGGATTAACTTCCGTAAATAAAAAACTGACGCAAACTAGATGCAAAATATGGCACCGGTATATTTGCTTGCTTTTTTAATTTCAACCAGTGTACTAGAAAGTACTGTAGAGAGAAACGAGGGCTTTCAACACAATACCCCGGCCTGATAACGTCTAGAGAGTACATATATATACTGTAGATGAAGAATTTATATTAATTTATCATTTTTTCAAATTACTTGTTGTACTCTGGGCTCCAGCTGTGGTAACTGTACAAGTGATTTGGTTATAGTATAAACATTTACTGCTACCATTACGTTTAGTCTTAAAAACAATCCGTAATAAATTTACGTGATCTCCTCCAGTATGTACTTATTTTACAGTTGCGTATTCACGCGATTATGACTGATCTTTTCCGAGTACAGGTCATATGCTTACGTACACTGCACAGCCATATGATTGCTATATTTGGCAGTCTCCTTACTTCTACGAGTATATTCAGTTGTTGTTTGGTAGACCTGGTGCGAAGAAAATAAAAATGGTACAATACTTATGAAAATGGCAATTCAGTTATAAATAAGGAAATCACTACAGGCACCCCCTTACACCCTCGTTTATTATAGGCACCTCTATTCGCACCCCGTATTTAATAGACACCCTTTTCTGTTTATTAAATAGAAATACCCTGTCAATGTATTTTACAGGACCCTTTAATAACATAATTCGAATACAGAATTCGTATTCGTGCGTCAATCTCATAGATACTCGAATACAGAAAAAATCAGGCTCATCCGATGATCGGATGATGAGGCTGATCTGCCACCTTAGATGAGTTAGATCTAATGAGGGTGGCATCGTCCGCGATAATTTTGATGTTTCGTTTCGCAATCGGAATTTCAGATGCCGGTTTTCTGTCGGCTCTTCGGACACCGGGTGGCCTCCTAATGGTCCACAAAATTATTGCAGTGTTTACGTTCTGCTAATATATGCTTAACATTGTTTACAAGATTTGTTTACGTTTTTGTAATATCCTTAAGAACAGTACTTATCTGCTTCACAATACTTGGGCGATCAGTTACCGTATCGAGGTTCGAACACTACAATTATGTTAAAGTTTCATAGGGGTGCCTATAAACAACAGGGTGTACGAAAGAATCATTAATAAGATAAGGGTGCCTTTAATTAACGGGGTGCGGAAAAGGGGTGCCTAAAGTAAACGGGGGTTTTTGGGGTGCCTATAGTGTCACCCTATAAATAAATGCGTTGCAATTATAATTCATTAATCCAAGTGTACTGTTTTTAGAGCGACGTGACGAAAGGTCTTGGGTTGCTTACTTCGGAGCTGGACGGTGTGCGCCTCCATTTGACTGAAGGCCTGCTTTTTGTGGATTTTCTTACCGTGTCCATTCTAAAAGAAGCCAAGTTGAACTAGAACATCCTCAAACAGGTCCCACTAACGGAAGAGTTTGCGCATACAGTGTGCAAACTTCCGGTGGAGTACAACGCGGACGACTACCTCCATGTGTTAAATCGCTTTGGGACGCACGTGGTCCAGCAACTGCAACTCGTCGATATGCGCCGCCAGCGAGTTTTCATCGAACCGAAGACCATTTTCCGCCAGTTTGTTGAGTCCGGAATGACCTTTACGGGAGACACTGCCGTTTTAGCCGACGAACTCGTACTGGCCAATATCACCGAGACCGTCATGCAAAAGGCCGCATACGATGTAATCCAACGCGATCTAGCTGGGGTCATCGTCACCGAATCGGCTGAGCGTAAATACATGCCCACACAGCTGCTGGAGCTTCCAAGGCTGATAGCTGAAAAGGCGCTTACGAACTCGCTAGTGGACGGCTGCAAGTAGGCGTGCTATAGGAAATCATTAATATTTATTTATTTTGAGTTTGTGTCTACTTTTATGTATTTATTAAATTAAATTCTCCAGTACATAGATTTTTGTCAATTTTTATCTTTTTAGTTTTATATATAGTTTATTACATAATCTATATTTTCATTCTTTTGCATGTTGGCTGACCACATTTTCATAATACAGAGAACTATTTGCCGGCATGGATAAGCCCTCGAAATCTAGTTGGGTGAAATCCATCCGCAACAATCTGCAGCGCGCCATCGCCGACTACAGCACGCAATCTGCATCGGATAACCTGATACCTTCGGCCGTCCAGTCCATCCCGTGGCCAACAGAAATCCGCAGCCAGATCATGGCCATTCAAAGTCGGCAACCGAACTCCTGCCTACCGGAACAAAACCCTTCCCTCATCGGACACGGCTTCGACGTCACCCGCGCCGATCCCTTCGCGGAGAACTTCCAAGCGGGAATCCATCTCGGTGATTCGCTCCTGCACTTTCGCCGCTGTACGGCCTCCAGTCGCTGCAATGCTGTCAATCAGTGCACGGTGATGGGTCCGGGGCTGAAAATCTCCGAGAAGCACGTCTTCACTTCCGCCGATGATCACCACAGCGCTGTGCTGGAATCGCTTGATTTTAAAGATGTTCCTAATGTAGGTTTTCCTCTTTTCCATTGATTTCGGTTAAATTAACTGGCAACGGCGCCTGTAAATTTCTGGTATTTTGTTCAATTTTTATTATTACCCATGTTAAAATAGATCATTAATTTATTTTCAATACGTATAATTAAGTAGAACTGATTCACATTACCAAAATTTCTTTAATATTTTGAATATCAGTCCTCTATATCTATAATTCGGTGCATGACCTCTTCTTGATTTGCTCAGGCCGCATGCTCTCTTCCCGATTTCATTTAAGGAACAAAATCAGTAGATTAGATCAAGTGCGCTGCTATCAATGGACCTGTATTTTCATGTATATTTTAATAGTAGCAAGCTTGCTCGTGAAAATCAAGCGTCATCAGCGTCAACGCTGTTATTAAATGCTGAGCAAATTAAATCCTAATATAAAATCAATTTTGCAGGAGAAAATTTCCATTAATGCTGGCATTCGCAGTGTCACCTCAAAGCGTCTGAAGCAGTTTCTGACCGAAGAAGCCACGATCAGCGATGAAGTGACGGGATATCTGGTCATGCAATCCCGTCTGTCGTACCACGCGGATGATCTTTTACTGGACCCGCGACTGATTTCTGCCGCCTGCTCTCTTCCCGATTTCTACGATGCTGTGGAGTACACGCACTTCATCCGCAAATTCGGCACCCACATCATTGAGGGCGTCACCTATGGGAACGTCACGCTGAACCGTACCATCGCTTTCCGTCAACCCGTCAACGGCACCATGCTTTTCGCTCCGGAGACGGTAGTGACGGCGCCGGCCCTGCGGCCCATTAAACTGCACCTCCGGAACATCAGCTCGTACTTCACCCCGCTGGCTGTCAGCCAGTCACTGCTCTCCAGCCGCTGCCAGAAGTTCGAGAATACAACATTTTTGGAAGAGTTCCGAAACCTTCTGGAAGACGCCGTGGCGGACTATGTAACGGCACGGAATATCTTGGCGCGTCCGGCGGCGCCGGTGACACCGACACCGTTGGCCGTCGAGGAAGAGAGTCACGTGCTAAAGAAACTGGATACTGTCATGGACAGCTGCGCTAGTGGAGAACATGCGGCTGTTGAACTTATGACTCAATCCAAAGCGTTAAAGCGTGGTAAGTATCAAATTTTAATAATATACTGCGACCTTTATCGCATTCCGCATAATTTCACAATAAGATTCGCGCACCGGACACCAGAAACACAGTATTCTCCGCGCTGTTCCATGTGACGAAAACCTTTAAGAAACTAATTACGTGATAATTACTATTTTAGTGTTATGCTGCTACTCGTACAGTCGTACTGTTTACTTTTACTGCTGCACAAGCTTGTGCACAAGATTACTAAAAACTAACAAATTTTTTAACGTGGAACAACCCAGTTTCTAATTGCTTACATTAGAAAGCTCGATAACGTCTTATTAATCTTGTGCATAAGCTTGTATGTACATTGTACAAAAACGATAATTATTATTATCACTTAAACAAAAAACAAATTTTCATTAATTGTTATTTTCGTAGACTTTATCAGGAAGCAGCTGTCCAAGGCCACCGTACACTGGCAGTGCCGTGACGCGGACACTTTATGGGCTATCAATACAACGGTCATCGGCATCACTATCCGCGACGACTCAGATCAGCCGTTGGAACAACTCGCGGTGGCCGTCAACGCCTACGGTGAATTTTCGTTGACTCTCCCCCGATCGGACAACTACCACCTGATTGTCGAAGCCGTCGGGTACCACCCGCTGGTACTCCGCAGTCCGTCGGCGCTCTTCGCCGTGGGTGCTGTGACCTACATGGAACCGCTTTTGTTCATTCCCCAAGAGGTGTCTGGAATCGGGATGGCGAGCGGAGCTGTATGGGCACAGACTGCCCCTTACGATGCCGATAAAACGCCGAATGATGTTGTTGTCGAGCTACGATCCGGTCTGCACAACTACAGTGGCATCCCGCTAATCTCCACCCGGACACAAGAGGGAAACTGCTGGAGTGTGAACGCCACTACGGGGTACTATACGGCCACTGCAACTGGGACTTCGCACCACGTCCCGCGGCATTTCACCGTTGTGGTGTTGGGTGGTAAGAATATCGTCTACAACGTGGGATTGCGCGCACTGTCCTTCGATGGGCAGGGTGTAAAGCCTGGCAGTGGCACCTGCCAATGGCACTGCCAGTGGCATGGCATGCGATAAAAACTGGACACTCTGGCAACTGGCAAGCGATAAAAGCTGGCAGATGCTACATAAAATGTTGCACCACGTATAAGCGGGTTCGGAGAGTTTGGTGTATCTGTAGTGCATATCCTTGAAACTCTTGCTAGAACATAAATAGGCCGGATAGCCGGATAGTGCTAACAGCATCGACCGTGCACAAAGTGCGTAAATTCGCGAAAGTATGAAATGAAACTCTGAAAGGTCAACTTTGCACCTTGCTGTGAGCGCGAAGTACCGAAACGAAGAGCCGTGTCAAAATACATTCGTAACACGTCCTGAAGGCACAACGCTGGAAGAGAAGCATGCCGGCTTTAATATACATAGCTGGAATAGATGCATTTTAACTGCATTTTAACGTGGTGCTTTAATGCGTTAATTAATTACAGTACAGTTTTAAGCACGGTACTGGCACGGTAGGCGATTCAGCACACAGGCAGCTTAGGCTGGTTGTAACCTGGGATTTATCCTGTGTACAAATAATTTAAGAAACCATGTCTACAGGGCGTTACAAGCGTAACTGTATGATGTTAACCGGCGCCGCTGTGATTGCAGTAGGAACTGTGATTGCAGTGTACTCAATAGCAAGAAATAAGAATCAAGTTGTCACCGGTGACAACATTATTTCAGTAGCGCGATAACAATTTAAGATCTAATTACGGTACCGTAATTAGATCTTAAAATTGTTATCGCGCTACTGAAATAAAGTGCACATCATCAAAGTTGTCTGATGGCTTGGAAGTACGCAATGTAATCTGCCACGGCGAACTTTGTAATGTTGCTTGGTATTCGGTAACAATACTTTTCAGACTACGAGTATTCGAAGGATAAAAGCATTCAACACTCGCTCCGAATGTCAGAACGCTTTAACGTTTTTGTTTTTAGGGTGCGCGTGTTATGTTCTTCGTACATCTGGCGTATTTATGTGTTTCTCTAATTTTTCCATGTTAAAATGTAAAGGCATTTAGAAGTTAATACTGTGCGCCAGCTACATATCAGCACGAATGCTTGTGAGTAGTGAAAAACTACTCGTAATAATAACATAAATAGCTGATTGTTAACTTGTTGTTACTTACAATTATTACATCATCTCAGTTAACGTTAGAGGCTTTATTTCGCAATATGTACAATCCAGCTTTGCTTCACAAATACAACCAGATGACGAATATGTTCCAACTAGCATGGGATGGGACCGTGCATACTAAACACACTCAGGGTATTGTACATGCAAATACCGCGCATTATTAGTGTTATGCAGCCCTGCGTCTAAAACCGTTGCCTTTCTAGCCAACTCAAAATTATGCATACAGTACACAGTTAGTCTTTGGAGTAAACTTGACGCTTGCGTACTTGCGTGGTACAGTGTACTCTGTACAAGTAATATCACCCTACCTGTCTAAATTTGCAAGCAGATCTGTACAAAATCTATTGTTTGTAGGACCTTTCAAATTAGTCCGTGAACCACCAAATTTTTTTATTAAGGCTGTAATACGCATATTAAAAATACGGTGTAGTGTGTTCAGACTTATTAGAAGCGCATGTCAATAATAAATGAGACAAAAAGAGGTGGAAAAACAAATTAAGTTACTTAATGTACTGCTTACCCAAATTGGCATCGTAGTCGAATTCTCGAACACCGAGAACGCAGATACGGACTTAAACGAATTTGTTTATTCGTAGCGCGTCACTATGATCCTATGATTCTCAATTTCCTATTCAATTTAAAAGAGTTCATATGTATTTCAAGAACGTGACAGTGACAGCAAGTGCTGGCATTGTTCGGTGCTAAACAAATTAGCGCCAGAATTAGAGTCAGATGTAACTCTTCAACGCAACTCGGCAACAGGGTTTAAGTCCGTTTAACGTATGCACACCGCACAGCTGGATATAATTTACACGCACAGAGTACGTATATATACCGGCGCTCCAGTTCAGCTGCTTGTGTCGCATGGTTTATTTTCGCCGATATAATACAACTGCAAAATAATCAGTTAGCGAAACAAGAAGATAAGGTTAGCTGTTTGTGGAGCTACCGTGCGTATGTAAAAGTGCGCGTATAAATGGCGCCGGTTTTTTTTGGAAATAACAGCAAAGTTCATGTGAAAGTATACGGCGAACAGTTGATACGAGCCAGTGACCGGTACTGTAGGACACTACATTAAAAATTAAAACATGATAGACATTAGACAGTCACCATGTACGACCTTGCTTACTTTGGCCTGTAGTTGGTAGTCAAAACACTTTTGAACAAAAACGCGGCCGCGTTTTCACTCAATAAACTGACTATCTTTTTCCCTGCAGACCGTAATGTTTGCAAGCAGTTATAGCACTAGAGCTTTCTTTCCGGTCCAAAGACTCGAAACTGTTTGTCGTCCATAATATTACTGATGGCCTGCCGTTGAGTGCTACTGGGAATAGTGTGAGTGTTTAAATAGCATTACACTGCTTTGCTTCATGAATATTTCAATTATGTACATGGCTGTAGAGGTAGGAGCATTAGTATTAGTACCAATAATCATTTCGATATTAGTGTTTCTGTTGATAAATATGCAGTTTTGTTGTCGCTATATGTATATTATTGTTATCAAGCAGTAGAAACGATTGGCCTAATAATATGGCCACGGTTGTTTTAACATTTGATCTAAATTAGCCGAAACAGGTAATGTTATGTGCCTGTACTGTACAGTGCAAAATTTGTAAAATTAATGTAGAAATTAATACCTTATACTTGAAGTATATACAGTGCAAAAAAAATACTAATTCAGTTTGGGTATAATCATTGCCACTCATCAGTAGTGCAACGTCATACTGCATGAACTGCTTATTCGTTTCTGAATTATTAGTCTACAGGAGAGGGGCAGTCGTGCAAATGTTAGTTTGGATTTACTGCTTATAACTCTGCATACGGTAGTTCACTATTGTCACAGTATTGTGTAACTTTTATATTAACAATTTTTAGAAACAATCACGTCAGTTTTTCTTCTGGTTTGACAGATGCCTAATTATGTAGTCGCTGACGTTAACTTAATGAACTAATCGTCATAACTTAAGCCACCAAAGGAGTGTGCGGAGACACTTAGCTAGAATCCTAATGTAGATAGTGGTATTTGTCGATGAGCTGGGCTTCTATTAAAAGCTTTTTACCAGAGCAAAAAAAGCCCTATGCTCAACTGCAAGGCATATTCCAGCGGTGTGCGTCTTAAATCGGGAAGAACCGCGATTGTCTTTAAATGAACGTTTATATCCTTTTGTATTGTATTTGTGGTACTTGGCGCACAGGGCAAACTGCAAGTGACCTTTTGAAATTTTATATGCCGGAGCGTCCTTTAATGCAAACTTTGTGCATCGTCAATACCGTTAAAACAATGAAAGAGAACTGCATACATACTGCCTAGAGTATCTACCATAATATACAGTATGTAGACCAAACGCGCCGAATCCGCTTATACGTTGTGCCACATTTTATGCGGCATCTGCCAGCTTTTATCGCTTGCCAGTTGCCAGAGTATCCAGTTTTTACCGCATGCCATGCCACTGGCAGTGCCATTGGCAGGTGCCACTGCCAGGTTTTACACCCTGCCCCTTCGATGAAGGCATTCGCGTCTCGGTGGTCAGCATGCGCAGTGTGGCCGGTTCCTACGTTGGTCTACACGTTCGTGGACCGCAGCAAAACAGTACCGAGCGTACGCTTGTACACCTCTACCGTCGAACAAGCCTGGACAATTTAACAGAGTGGAAACATTGGACGCTTTGGAGCAACATGATTGCCATTAAGGAGCAACAACTACCTGGACGCTATCAAATCAGCGTGAATGCCGGATTTCTGCGCTCGGTAACAAATGAAGAAAGTCACGGGATGCACAGCGAAGCGACTGAATGGGCGGTGGCTAGCACGTTAGCCGTTGTACAAATTCACCGGAACGGATACTTGTGGGCCCGTTATATTGTCCCAGTGAATAAAGGCAGTAACTGGCGGGTCGCAGAAATCAACGGATTTAACATCACTGGTCTTAACGAGATGGGTACCGATGACTGGCCCTGATCGAGCTGCCAGTGGTGCCAGTTTAAGTACTATCTTACTCTATTAGCTAAAGTCCAGTTGAGTTTTTCTAGCTGCAAGCACTATCCGTGCTACGTAAGTTAAATTAATATTCCGTTATGAAAGCGCAACTTTTTGTTTCACTGCTCCACCAGTAGTGTTAACAGCTTTACACAGGTGATTAACTTTCAACTGATCGCTGATTTTGCTACGGAATCTGTCTGTCCTGGCAATAAATACTTTGTGACATGTAACTTAATCATGATTAGGCATCAGTTTACAAACGAAAGCTGCTTTTGGCTTTGAAGGACGCTTGCCTCAAATGTACTCGTAACTATTTTACACACAGCTATTTTATAATTTTACATGACTTTGTACAAATTGTACATATCTCATATCTGTATGTACAAAATCTTGCAGGTCTGTGAAACATAATAATTAACAGCTTTTACACTCGAATAAATTCAAGTTTCAACATCAAGTCATCAACATCATTTTATTAAATGTAACAGATTAATGAAAGACTCTTTGAAAATTAAAAGATTTAAGATTTAAGTTCGCAAAGAAAACAAATTTAAGATTTAAGGAAACAGATTTAAACAAAGGAAACAAAGGAAACAGATTTAAGTTCGCAAAGAAATGCCTGAAATTACTTTAACCAGAATAATTAAGCTTTCTCGTAGCGAATAGTAAATACGGTATAAGCCAACTAAAACTTGTACATACTGTACCACCCAACCCTGTTAATATATTTCGGTTGCTAGCCGGTCCGCTCCCTTATCAATTCCGACGAAAGGAAAACAGCCCATTATTTTGCAGTTAACTTCATTATTGTGCGTTAGGAGTCTGGCCGCGCTCTATGCAATTTTGGGTGCGCCAATATTTTGCGATATTAAATTACTGTGAAATGTGAATGATGACAGACCGATGCCGTGTACCCTTTGTCAACCGGGCCAGCTAGTAGCAACGGCGCTCTATCGCTTGGGCCATCGAATATATTTTTTGTATGTTGTGTCTATAAACTGCGAATGCGGAAATACTGTGGGGGAAAACATTTGAAAAACAAAAAAAGTAAAGCAGAAATTGTTGGTTGAGCTTGTCCGATTATTTCGTATTAACCTCCAGCGGGCGGTACTGGAAGGAGTACGAGTTTCCTTACGAAAATCGGGATTTCCCGATGAAAAAATTCAATTAAGGAAGGGAATTTTTTGTGAGATTGTGCTGACCATAGGTCAGCCATGGTGTCCATGTTGTCGCCTGACGCCAATGCCCATGGACAGTCTGCAGCATAAAAATGTTTAATTTTGTAATAATTAGGCAAACAAGAATTACGTAACAGCAATTACTTCATTAAATAGCCCAAAAAAAGTGCTTTAAAACAAGAGTACAGAAGTGGTCAACAAATTGACCACTGGTCAGTAAAAAATTAAAAACGTCCAAAACCCGCTTTCATGCATTTGGACCAGGTCACAAAATACAAAATAAACGATTCTAGCAATAGTAATTCCCAAAACGTTCGTTATGCTCGCATATGGAACTTCATGAAGCAGTCCTTGTGCAATTTAACATTGCATTTGCTGCATTTCTGCCATGCCGAGTTGCCTTTACACAGCTTGCATCGTCCGCGCTTGCATTTTTCCTGGATGTGTCCACAGCTGTCGTAGCGGGCGGCATCGGAAATCGGAGTGGACGGTCCAGTTGCAGTAGTGATCGGCGCCGCATCACACATCAGCAATTCCTCAACCAGCTGTGACAGAAACTCGATTTGAGTCAGTTTGCCTCCCACCTCACAATGAACTCGCCAAGCCGCAACCGCGATCATTGCAATAGAGTTTGAAAACAAAGGCCACCACCACTTTTTGGAACGTAGCATCGGCCGGAAGTTACTAATAAACCGGTCGCAAAGGTCAACACCTCCCATATGCTTATTGTAGTTTGAAATCATCTGAGGCTGGTCAATTAAAATCTTCTTCTTCGCGGCGCGACTCCATCGCTTTGCCTTTCCAAGCGGCGCAACGGTATCGTAGTTTGACGCGAGACATACTGCGGTGTTATCATGCCATTTCACAGCGACGACATTGGCCGTAGAATAGGCCGCGTGGCTACCACGTTCGGTTTTCTTGAATTTCTTGTTGTCCGGAAACGGGCATTTCTTCAGGCGGTTTTCGCGCGCCGTACCGGTGGCTCTAAAACCGAGCGCTCGCATTTCTTCCAAAAGTGCATAGGACGTGAAAAAATTATCGAAGAACACACAGTGTGCGTCTGGACACTTGACCACAGACAGCAAGTTCAAAACGACACGAGAACCAAGTGGCTTTGCTGATTCGGCAACCTCCTTTCCCGTAGCATCCTTTCCGGTGTACGCGTAAAACATGTACGGATATCCCCGTGATCCGCACAGCACCCAGAGCTTGTAACCGAATCGGCATGGTTTGCCTCTCATGAACATTTTGCATGAGTGGTGACCGAAATAGGGGATCATTTCTTCATCAACGCTAAGAAATGGATCAAATATTCCGAACTGTAGAAGTTTTTCTTTCAAAAGAGTGAAGAATGGGTTAACTTTTGCCATTTTATCTTCCGGATCCAAGTGGTCGTTGTCAGCCAGATGGAAATATCTTTTAATTTTCTAGAAAAATAAAACGTTATTAGTGCCGACCGCCCGGGGTGTCGATCAGCAAATGCGTTTTTTGATGGGTTCCTGCAACCGGAAGTACTTGCAGTCCGTTTTATGTCTGAAGCGACAGGATCTGATCCCGATTACGCAATAAAAAAAATCTGTTCGTATTGCACCCGCCCAAAGTGACGGCAAAATATCATCGACATATTTCTTGTACTTCTCACCTCGAATCGTTTGCATGACATCTTCGAAGAAACTGCCGGGAAGCTAAACAACGCGGAGCGCATCCAGAAGTGCCTTGTAGTAGGCAACTGCACAATTCCGCTGTACAAGAGTATTCCGATGAACAAAAAGAGATCGCGCATAGGAAGCTGAAAATCTGCATTGTTCTGCTTGGCATATCGTTCGGATTCGGTGATGATATGAGTCGCAACAGCGTCATCAAAATACATTTTGAAAAATTCCAGTGGAGTCTTGCTGATCAGCTCTGGATGTTCGTCTGCCAGCTTCCTCGGCGTTCCTCCAGTTTGCTCTGGAAATGACACGAAAGCGCTTTCGTCCGGTTGCCAGTTTACTTCCGGCCGGAGAACGACGCCTTTCTTTCGCTTTGGGGCTGGAACTTCTTCGGTCTCAGATTCAGTTTCGTAGCATACATCAAGATCTCCAGCCACATCTTTGGGCATTTGCGGTCTGAGATCATTTTCATCGATATCCTCCGTATCAGAGCACACACCAGCTTCCGGTGGAAGGCAAACAATGTCGATCTCCCGGTGTGGTCCATTTGTCAACTCTTCAAAAATATCTTTTGCCTCTTTAAGCGTTTTTGCTCGTGTTTGAGGCATTTTAAAAAAATACGCAACAAATTTGAAATATCACTAATTTGGAAACTTTTCACGCGGGAAGAAATGCAAATAAAAAAGTGGGAAATCATAGCAATGGATGGTACGCTAAGCAGTCGCAGCTGTCCAAGTATTACCGGCTTTGTTGTTGTAAGCTGGTTTTTTTTTCCAGCGCCAAATTATAAGCTGGCAATTCACCACTGCAGTTGTTCACCGAAGACAGTGCAAAAAATTCTACTGCATCGCGAAGGTGTTTTTTCGAATCTTTTCAGTGCTTTTTTTAGATTAGTTTGTTTGCAATCAAAAATTTTATCAATCATGGAAGGTTTGCAATTATTATTCACGGAACTTGGATTAGTTATGCCACGTTGGTTGAAAACAATTGTACAGAAGCAGATTGATTGTGGAAACACTGGCAAGAAAGCGCGGAGCGAGATTTATCGCGCTTTATACTGGAAACTCAAAGTACGTTTATTCAGCCAGCTAAAATTTTATGAAAATTGGAGAGTAGTCATTTAAAACTATCTTGTGGCTTTCTGGTTGTGTTTTAGCATTTTTCAGCAAGAGTTTTTGTTTGCATATACTGTAGTAAGCTGTTCTTCGTGATAACAGAATGGGAAGAAGCTGGAAGGGATCAAAACTGCTGTTTATCCAGCTTCTTTGGTGGATGCAGTATGGGAAATATTCCCAGATGACAACAAACATCAAGATGTAAGCGTGATGTTCACTAATAATCAAAATTTTTAATTAGCAATAAAAATTGAAGCTATTTGACTGCGCGTTTCTTTACATCTACAGTACGGCCCGTCGAACGTGACGCTGCAGGACATTGCAAGTTTACAGTGAACGGATTACAGCGCATGTGGCCAGTTCCATGTATTTTTAGACCCTTCATGGGCATTGGCGTCAGGAGGCGACATGTGTTTTTGACGGACAATGGTCCAGTAATGTCAGACTTTTTGATGACATGGTGGACATTTCTGAATAAAGCATCATCAAATGTACCTTGCTGATTTATCTCAAATTTATTGAATCATCGACGACCAAGTTATTGACTAAGGCACCGAAGGGCTGAGTCAAGTCGAAATTAGCGATTTTTTGCGCACCTGTGGTTTTTGATTAACTTGAGACAAAAGGTTGAGGAATGTTTTTATTGCTGCTTTGAAGTTCCTCGTTGCTTATTACGTTAAGGGAGAGCGAATAACTGTTGCCCAGCCCTTGGGAAAAGATTCCAAACACCTTGTCGTCGTGTGACGCCAATGCCCGTCAATGGGTTAAACTAATGCAGAATCTGTAACAGCTCTACAGGTACTGTACTTCTAGAAATACTCGAAGTACATTGAAAACTGATATAATTATAAATATTTGTATTTCTTGCAAATATTGTACTGCCGTTAAGTTAACTTGCATAAATTTTGTATCCATCGCTCGACAATAATTGTATTCTCTGCGTATGCCGAAAGTATTTCATGCATTAAAGTGTCATGCAGATGTCCATTTAAAAATTTTGGCATACCGGTAATAGCGGTAAGTACTCGTAAATGCGTTGAGTAAGTATATTAATTCTCTCTTCACACAGTTACGATTTATCGGTAAGAGTTTTGCTACGTACTGACGGTACCGTCGTACCACCCGAACTCACTGTCGAAGTACGTGCGTATAAATTATAAGATGAAAATTGTGTAGTATACAATTGTACATATATTAATTGTTGATAAAAATTACGCCATATAGTTTATTAGTTTCATCATTAAATGATGATGGCTATCACAAATTAATTGACGCACAAATAGATAACTGATACGCGATACATGCGGTTGTTTAAAAGATACTTGTACGTGTACACTGTACAGCTTCGACAGATTTTGCAAACGTTTGATCGGTGGAAGCAGAAAAATAAATAAATGCCAAATAAATAAATCTTCCCGTGGAATGCGAGGCACGTAAATTTAGCTGCCAACAGCGACAGAGAACAATAGGCAAAGGAATTCGAAACATCGCCATCGATGGCCAGAACGCACCCCGGATCGAACGGAACTAACTTTTCCGACCTACGACGCACATTTGTGGTAACGTACAGTACAGCACTGCGGAACATAACAGTGCGGAAGCGGGGCGGGCCCAACCGCGTGAGTCAGATTACAACCTTTTTGCGTTCTCCCGAATCAGCGATACTGTTTTACAGTGATACTGTGATTCAGGGTTTCTGTTCTTTTGTATATGCAGCGCCTTCGAATATCGTTTTTCGTTCCGTTACCTTGAATGTTATTATCATTTTCACACAAAGTGACACAATATTGTGTGACGCGCTAAGATCTGCCAACCGTCCGGAAAATGTCGTATTCCGCTCTGCTCAAAATGGCCTTTCTTTTTAGCGGAATATGCATCCTATCCGTCTTTCTGTTTGTCCCCACTGCAAAAGTACCGGTGTCTGCATTCTATGATCATGTCGATCGGTCAAAACCACCGCCCGTCGATGAAGTCACGAATCCAGTTAATCCAGTTCGCTGGCAAGCGGCAATTCCCTTTCAGCTTTTCGTCCACTCCGCGGTCTATGCGCTTCCCTCGGAGAACCTCACCGGTTATGTTATCAAGATAATCTCCATCGTCAACCGCACCGACGCGGAGATGCACAAGGCGCTTCCGTGCAGTTGTGTGTGTGTCCCCATGGAACATTCCCGGCGGTGTTAGCCGATTATCCCGATCACCATAATCAGCGGTATATCGCTGCCACACTTACGTGCGATGTCCGTGAGTACGCCGACTACGCGCGACCCATCCGGATGACGCTGCAGTGCCAGATGCGGAATGTTTCCCGATCGGTGGACCTTGACGTGGCCACACCTCCCTTCTGGCCGGAACCGCCGCCGCTGAGTATGGCACTGTGTGGACCCATCGTTTTCGGGCAGGATATCCGTCCGGAACATATCGTGGAATGGGTGGAGTACTACCGGATCATGGGCGTTTCCAAATTCTTCATCCCGGTGTATTATACGAGTCCGTTTTCGGATGTTCCGGCAGAACTGCTGTGGGTGCTGTGGTATTATGAGGATCTGGAATTGGTGGAGGTGGTCAACTGGACGCTCCCGGTCGAGATTGAACGGAAGGTGCATTATAACGGCCAGCTGGCGGCTATTAACGGGTGCGTGATGAAGGCTTACGGATACTGGGACTACGTCGTTGTTGGTACGTAGAACTTCACCGAAGCGCTTATCTGGCTTTAGTAACTACTAACTACGCATTATCCTAAAAAAATACACATAATTCACTTGTCTAAGACAGTTTTCTTCGCATTACTGCAAGTAAAAACAATCCGTTCACAATATAACTATACTAGTAGTCTGGCTCATATATGATACAATCAAAATTTATCAATCGAAACCTTTCGCGCTTCCGAATTATGCATCTTTAATTTTTATGACATGCAGAATGTTCTTGTAATCGTTATCTTTCAAAGCGCAATAATTACTTCAAGCTGTCCAATTTTTATTACAGTAATTAAGTTTTAATCTGCTCATGTTGCTAATTTTCTAGCGTAATTATGCGTTATTATGGTCTACGAGTAGTTGTGGTGACTGGTGAGGGTACCGATAATAATAGTTACAAGCCACAACAGCAAGAATGTGCAGCCGAGGTGATATTACTTCATACTTCATAGCTACATAAAAGACATAAAAAAGTAATGAAACTCCCCTTTAAGAAGTTAGGTCGGATGCATGCATGATCGACGCCCAGCTTTGTTATGGCAAATTAATTAGGCTTGCAAATACAGCTGGTATTAGTAATGGAATAAATTTATCTAGAACAAATGAAATATACTGGAATTTATTTTAAAAATATAAAAAAAAATTCTGAAAAGCATAGTCACTCTCGCACTGAGCATTAGTTGCAAACTATCACAGATTACTCGTACTCGTAGCAGTTCGCTTTTACCGTAATTACATCCTCTAATATTATTGCCAAGGCTGACTAATTGCTTTTTTCGTCTACGGTAGTGGACTTTGACGAGTACATCATCTCTCAAGACGGAACCGGTTTGGATGCCATCGTCCAGAAGGGATCCCTTGACTGCGTCACAATCCGGCACTCCGCCGTTAAAAACTCCCTCAGCGTCCCCGCCACGTCTGACGACATCGGCCAGCATCTGGTTCGCCACTTGCAGCGGGATTCCTTCGTCTGGCCGGCCAACGATCGCACCAAGTATGTTTGTCGTCCGCAGAGCGTTCTGGAAGCGGGCATTCACTTCATCCACAAGATACGCCCCAACGCGCGTTTATTGCAAGGAGCCAACACCGAGGAGACGCTGGTGCTGCATTTTCGCGAGGCCTTGATTGGAGCCGGTGCCACATTGGTCGATGTGGACATGGACCGCTTCTTCGGACTACAACGACTCCCAGCGGCTCACGGATAGGGTCAACACGGTCTATCGCAGTATTTTCATCTCCCCTGGCGGACCGAAATGAGAGCTACGCCCTCCGGCTTCTTATTATTATTCTGCGCCATTTCAAATGCACTGTGATAGACCGCCCAAAAATTTACATTTGGTTGTCTTGTTCGACAAGCTGCTGTGTTTTAAGCAATGATTTTTTTATCCCTTTGCGCGGATTTTATTTGTCATCTTGACCTTTCTGGATTTAGTACAGCTAGACTTTTTGGTGTAGCTCTCAAAGGCATTGCCCTTTTCTCGTCCTGTTTTTACTGATGGGTCTGACTTATATTTAAAATAAAATTTAATTCATAAAGAACGGTTGCGTTAGCCGTGAACCTTCGATTTACTGAGAATTATACAGACATTCCCGAACGCATCGATTTTTTAGAGATATTTGTGGATGACACAGTCATCCAGGTCGAGAAAATTATCCGCGCGATGAAACGGCCTGACAATGAGATGTAATTAAGAAACAACAATGCGATATAGACTGAAAAAGGAAATTTGGAAGTATCAGTACAGCTAGAGTACCAGGGTGGATGAAAGATAACGATTCTGCAGAACCGCAGAACTGATAAATAATTGTGGCGAAATATATTTAAGGAAACACAGCCAATGTTGAAATGATGGAAACTGCGATGCACTTTTGCTAAAGCGCGCGTAATTACCGTAGACTCTGTACCAATATTGCGGTACTTACTATAATACGTATGCATAGTCGTTTTAGGAACGGTATTAATTAATACCTTCGATCAAAAGAAGTAAATTAGCGGTATGCCAAAATTCTGTATACTTTACATTGCGAATGCAGACTTTATGCAAGGAATACATCCAGTGTTCGCATTATTGCTATCAAAATGTACGTATTTTGAAGATGTAAGAAAGATCGGAGCTTCAACAATAGCAACAATGTACAAACGCTCGAACGGTAGATAGCAAATATTAAGAAAATAAGAAACAAATAAATCTTTCCGTGGACTTGAGTGCTGTACTAACAAATAAAGTTAAATAACGGCCATTTAATTAATAAAAGTCCGAAAAGTCTACTCTAGTAAACAGCATGGCTTTGAATACAATTATACAAAGTAAGTAAAAGTAAGTTGCTGCCGGATTAGTAAAATGTTAATTCTAGAGTTAGGAAAACTTCTTGTTGCTGTTTTGTTGCGCTTTGAAACCACAAAAACGTTAGCGCTAAACTAAAACTTATTTAGTGAATTTACTTTAATTTAATAAGTAAATTTGCTTGGAAAAATTAGTATGCATGTAAGAAATAAGTATATTGACCAGGACTTTCACTGCTCAACACTACGTGGAATGCAGTGCATGTTGGCTGGGCTGCCAACTTCCGAAGAGGACAATAGACGAAGCAACTCGAATCTCATCGCCGTTTGTTGGTAAAAAGTACAATCTGAATCGAACTGGGAACTTTCGTTTTCTTCGTCGCCTCTTACATAACGGCGCAAAAGCGTGGCGTGTCCAACCATGGACCACCCCACTGCGCCCGCGTTAGCGCCGGTTCAACATAATACGCAGAACCACCTCGCCTCACCGCTCCGCACTTCCACAATGATCGCCATATTATTACGATTTTCGCTTGTAACCCAGAAAAAAAATTTTTTAAAAAACATACAAATTGGTAACTGCATTTGCTTTATGTATTCTGCACGTGAAAAAATTATATTTTTTTAGTAATTTGCTGCAGAAAACTGAAAAAAGAAGAAATTAATTGAGATAAATTACCGAGCGATGCAAAGTACTGTACTCGTTGAGGAGAAAGCGACCAATCGCAAACCGGCAGTTGTACACAGTGGAATGTGCTGGTCCCGGTTGCGCCCGGATTCCACTTTTCCAGACTGCAGTGTTCAGTGTAACGGTGTTCAACTGTTCATGGTTAAATTTCGAAGGCGTAAGTCAACTGCAGTTGATCAGTGTGCGCGTTGCAAGTTTCCAGATCATTTGACACTTTCGATACTGCTGTTGTCAATTATATTTTGAACAGTTTCAAAAGCTAATTTAAGTCCTAACTTGTTATTGCGTTTTACAAGGAAAGTATATTTTCTGTGAGCTCCATATTCCCCATTTTCCATTAACATGTCGGCGAAAGCGTTGGTATTCTTAACCGTTGCCCTCTGTGGGGTAGTGGTCGTTACTGGAGTGCCAATGCGAAATTGGAACGCCGGCTCATCAGCTACCACCTTCATGACGTCTGAACCACCTGCCGCCACTACACCGGTCAGTACAGTCGGAAATAGCTACTTTTTGCTTTTATTGGTATACAACACACAACTGTATTTCTGTAAACTTTTTCGCTAATTTACAGTCACTTGCAGTTCGACTTGCGCGTTTCCCTATGAATAACTATTCAGACATCGTAATAATCAAAATACGATTGGTTCTGGGTGCCGTGATTAATACGGCAGAAAACGGTTGACGATTACGAGTAGTTGCGAGAACACGTATGCGCAGCTACCCCTTTTTTTATAAGGTCTAGTGTTATGCCCTTTAATTTCATTTGTGACGGTATGGAAAATACATGTTTTTTGACATGTTTTTTGTGGCATCGCATGCAGGTTGTACCGGTATACAAATAATGTGTACTATAATAATATTCGTATTAATTCCAGGACAAGCCGCAGCTGACGTCGAGCATCTTCTGGCCACACCGTCTGAGTACAGGGTCAGGTTTTGCCGACAAAGATTACCCCACCACACCAGGTGGCAGACCAATTGGGCCGGAGTCGGACAGTACAAAGTATGATTTTAATGTGGAAACCTATAAATACGTAACTATATAGTCAGTGTGCTTACTATTTCGTACTAGCGCAGACTTGCAGTTTTCCATAGTATAAAAAATAATGCCGTTCGTACACAGTGTTGTTATCATAATAAAGAAGATTATATATGTATAACGTTTGTCGAAATTCCTTTGAAGAATTTCTGTAAATACATTAAGGAGCAAAACGGCCACACAACACCAGCACTGTCACTTGAATCATCGCAACTTATTTTTCTTATGCGATTTTTTCATCCCAAACAGAGATGGATTGAAGCCGAAGTATCATACACCTCTCGAATTTCGGCCGCAACTGAATCTCCTACATCAGCCGCCAACTCGGTATGGTTGCTTCTGTTCCACACCGTTTTTTTTACTGCAGCACATCATTTCATAAATACTTTAATTTTTTTCGTAGTTTGCCGACCTTTCCGTCGATTCGGGTACGTCCACCGCCCCACCGCCACGACATACGAGCGAACAGATGGAAATCAGTGGCACCACGGAAAGCACGAATATTCAGGTACGATTTATTTCTAACGTACCATGTTTCATATTGGCACGTGGATCATTTCACATACATATTGGCACGCCTTTGTTCACAGATCGCGGAGAATTCAGGGCTTCCACTCAGCGTGCTCTTTCCCAACAGGAACGAAAACGGAAGGGCTGTCTCTCCGCCATCTTACCGTAATGTTGCGTCGCAACAGACGAGCGCGTCAACCAGTCCTGCTCCGACACTGATGAATAAAAAAATTCCGGTGAAGTCCTATTTTGTGGCATATTATTATCTATCACAGTTTCATTACAAATTTACTGAATTTCTTTACAATATAATTTTAAACGTATCACAGTTTTCATTACAGATCAAGATTTTCAAAATAAATGTTACGCTTTTTAATGCGTAGTGTCATTTATCATCATTTTTTACCATATTGCAAATTGCAATCAGTTGTAAGAGCGAGCGAGTTTGATTCTTCAGCAGAGCGAAATATAACTTATCTATCCAAACAGTGTAGAGAAAACGGCTCATTAAATTTTTATGCGGTTTTTTCCATCGTTTTAAAATGAGCCCGTTAACCGGTTCAGAATGACTGTTTCGGCCGTTAATCGCACTTCTCCTCTTTGCTTGGTCAGCTCGTTGACAGATAATAATTTAACAAATTTAGGTTATTCACAGTTTATATTTTAACAATTTATTCAATATTTTATTTCGCGATACATTATTTTGAATACATAATATAATTTTTAATACCGATTACACTCTTTTACGCGTATTACAATTTGTCACTTATCTTGCCGGTACTGACTTTTTAGCTTTTTTCACAGCCCACGGTAACGTCAACGAATCCAGTCAGCGGGATGAACTCCAGCGTCGACGTATTCACAACTCTTCGCTCGTTCTTCATGTCCCTTGCACCGCGTCTGCCGGCCACCGCTGATGCCGCCGGCACACCGGTCGGGATCATGCGTTTTCTGGGCGTCAGCTTCGAAGTTCTGGTCCCTGTTTAATCTTAGAAGAAACCAGTTATTGCTCTATGCCCTTATTCTGATATAATTCAAGGTTTTAACAGCGCTAATATAATCCGCGATGGCCTGTAAATACAACCTTTTTTTCTGTGTAAATCCACAACGTCAAGGTTAGCGCCAAGTATGATTATATGCAATTGGCTTTGCTACCAATCAATTTTCTCTTCAATAAAAGCTCGCTCAGTGTCAAAAATTGTCAGTAAAATTCCAGTAAAGGATTGTCAGTTTGTCAGTATACAATAATTATTATTGTCAGTAAAGAAGCTTCGGCCTGCACTCAACGGGCAAACAAACCACCCGCAAAGCGATGCACAATAGCGATGCACACTGGATTCCAGACAGTTACTGACCTGGTGAGTACACCAGCTTCACAACAATAAACGTAAATCGAGCAGTGCGTAAATTTTACACTTTCGGACTGCATGGACACACTGTATATGTTCAATATCATAAAGCACATGTTGAAACAAAAACTGTGGTACGATTATGACGACTTTTAAACGCATATAACTTCTTATTATGCAGTACATAATCGACAGAGTCTTTACTTTTTATTACATTAATTTTTAAGGAATAATCATGACGTACTAAATAACTGCTGGTTTGGTTCTGATTAATGACTTTTAAGTAAGTACAAAGATCTGTGTCTGTACTTGAAAATAAATCTGCAAATCCCACATAAAAGGTTGCTGCCTTAAGCTAGTACTTATATTTTTTCAAAATTACACACCGTGTTTCACTGTCCACAACCACACACACAAGACAAAGATACCCCTTGCTCTTCGGCAAGAAGCGATAGGACATCATAGGCCGACCAAAGGTCGTATACGCCGGCCACTGGTCAGCAGGCAGTGAGTGGCAGTGGTGGCCAATATGTCCCCCGCCCTTCGCGCAGCGCCGCAGTTTGGCGGTTGATTTATACTCGTACATCCCTTACAATACATTACCGCTGCTCAGTAAAGGGTAGCCCACGCCCCACAATCACATTTCTTTATCGGCAGAGGAAAAATCATGAGGATTTCTTACCAAATGCGAACGGAATCCCACATATGTACATTTGCAAAGTGCTGTGGATATTAATTGTTTGGTCAAGGAATGGTTCCTCTATTATTCTATCCCTAGACTATTGTACAGTGCACTCGTCCTGTGTCCTTATTACTGGTGTACGGGTATTTCAAAATTTTTGTGAGTATTATTGCTGTTGTCATAAATCCTATGCATACGCGGTTTCGCCGGCGAATATGGCCTCGCAGCTGGCCAGCGTACGATCACGGCAACTTGTTGTTGAAGGACAGTTGTCGATTGAACACGGTGGTGAATGCTTGCTTACTTGCGTAATTAAACGCATAATATTTGAAGTGTCTCGTTATTTCATGTTTGCGACGTAATTCATAACATTATATCATGTAGTTAAATATCACTATTCCACGCCGACCGGAAGTAGTCTCGCCAGACACACCTTTCGCAGAACCTTCGTCCTTTTTTCTGCTAATCCTGAATAGTATACCTGTAGTGCGCCTGTATTCTATCTAAGTCCAGCGGAATTATACGCGATTCCTCACCATGCACAGAGTAGCCGTGACCATGCATATACGGTAAATTGTGTTAGTGTCTTTGCTTATGCTAACTTGTTTGTCTACTCTAGTTGCTTATATGATTATTACTAACAAAACCGGCTACAGCTAGAAGTTTACCCCAAAACTTTATTATTTAGTTATCACCATGCCACGCCGGCAGGAAGTAATCCTCGGCGGAGACACCCTTCGCAAAATCGCTGCCATTTCTTGGCCAATCCTTAAAATAGTACACATCTGTGGCATCACTAAGGAACGCCGCCCACCATCCATAACTGCCCACACTCAGCACTACAACATCCATAAAGGTCATGAGAGCCATATCTACTTCGGCAGTATGGCCTTCGACAAAGACAAAGTTCTCTTTGCGAAACAATTTGTGACAGTACTCTTGATCATTACTGATAACAAAGAAAACGACATTCTTCTGTTTATCTTGAACACGCAACACCATGCGCAGCAGATAGTCGTCCGTGGCGGCAACGTGGCCGTGGTTCCTCTGTCCCGCGTCGGTGACAATGTCGCCGCGTCGCACATGCATCCCCACCCGCACCGATTCCATGGCGCTGGACAGGATGCCACGAATGTGCAGACTGGTTAAACCGTCCATGATGGTGTTGATGGCCTCCATCTGGATTTTTTGCTTGTACGTGTACATGGCCCGGACTTTGTTCGCCACCTCGCGGAAGTACTTCCACGATTGGCCGTAGCCAGATAAAGCTGCCGCGTGGTCCGGGATACGGGCATTGACATTGTAAAAATCAGGGCAAAATTTACCGGGACCATAGTCACCTGAAAAGCACCGGTGATGACTAATGCTCAAAATTTCGAAGCTTTTATCGATGATTTCTTGGTAAAAACAACCGCCATTTAGTGGATCGGGAATGAAAGCGTATAGTTTGCAAAATAGGTTACTATGATGCTACAATAATATTTGAAAAACCTCGTGAAGCGATCAGTTACAGTCCGCGTTTACCAAGAGTGTGCTTCTCCAGGGAATTATTAGGGAACAGAACGGACTTGTGAATGAAGCCAATGTCCATTCCTTCGAACCAATGCATCCCTCGTGAAAATAAAAGTTACTAAAAACATCCAGTTACCAAAAGAAGTACTTGTAAAGTTACGCTAAACTTACAAAAAGTTTTCATGACAGCCGATTATAACTTGGACCTTTCATATAACTTGGAATACTTCAAGTTGGTTAAAAGTTACTTACTCGTATTACAGCACTGACGCACAGTCACGCAAGGTTTGTAATTTATTTTCTGTAATCTTAAGCAGTAATAAGCAGCCACCAATTGACGTAAGTTGCATCACTGCATATTACTGTATTCGCTCGCACATCTTGAACCACAGAGTGCGTGTACGGGAAAAACGCGCATTCAATATACACACTCTAACCGGGCCAAACGCGCGATTCGCGATTTGATAAACTTTTGATGTCTAACAACATCTGGTCAGGAGAACTTCTTGAATATTAAAAAAAAAATCAGAGCTCTAACAATTTTTAATCATGTTATGCTCGAAAGCAGCCATTAACATACAGCTTTGGCGTAAGCACGAGTAACAAACTGATTTGTTTTGGTTTTTGGGGTGCCCCTGGAGGGGGAGGGGTACGTTCAGCGTCAACATTCTTGATGGCGATGAACCACAGAACAATTCGAGCTTTCAGCTACAAAACCTTTTTTTCCAGAGTGAATTGCCATTTAAATGAAAAGTCTTGATTTATTGGACAAACTCACAAGAAGAACTGTTCTTCTTGAAATATTTCGTAGTCGTGCATTTTGCCCGGTTATAGTGTGTATACTGAATGCGCGTTTTTCCCGTACACACACTCTGTGGTTCAAGATGTGCGAGCGAATACAGTAGTGCGTAACTGCATAGTGCATTGCTACTTTATACAGCGCAAATGCACAAAAACATTTCATGCTATGTAGTTTTAAAACATTAAAACATGATTAATTTTTTTATTAGTAATTGCACATGTATGTATACAATACATATTCCACTTCATTTTGTATTTCTGTGGTTCATACAGATAATAAACATTGAATTAAGTAATTCGGTGGGATCGTAAAACAAAATTAACCAATGTGACTTTTAATTACTAGCAACTAAAATAAATAAGACGCCGTACTGCAATAAAATTTTATAACAACAAAATATTACAAAAATAGCAATACATTTTTGTGGCAGTAGCCGCAGTACACAAAGCAGCTATGTGAAAGGTACACATGTTACCCCACGAGTTGGCGGCCGCAATAAGGGCGCACGCTCGAGCTCGTAAACATAGCTCAGCTCGCTAATAACGCAGTCGAGCCGTTGAAATTCAACACACTTGTGACTTGTAGGAATCAGTTTGTTTCACTTTCTAGTTTTAACTGCACTTCGGTTTGATTTTAAGGGTTGAGTAGAAAATGATAAGGTCTGAAACCAGACGTAATTTGTAGCTTTCTGAGTTTTGAAACATTGAGTCAGAAAGCAGTATCAGGTTAAGACTGCTTCTTCACGGGTCTACGAGCTGAATCGCCGTTGAGAGTGTCTGTGCTGGATGAGGAGCCTGCAGCTGGGTTGTTGGATGAACCTGCCTTGATAGTAGATTCCCAATCATTCTGTTACAGGTATGATGACTGGTAATAAAACGTTATATGGAACGCAGCCATATGATTTTGGGGTCGACTTCGTTCTAGTAAGCGTAGAAAAATTGAAAATTTGGAAAGTTTTAAAAAAGAGCGATTTAAATTTTTCATCTTTATTTTACGCTGGACGGAGTCGACTCTCTTTGATTTGCTCATATCCTTATCAAAATCCCTTTACACGTTCTAGTTTTAAAAATTGACTGTGCTACTTGGCAGTCTTAAAGGCAGTCAAGCTAATTTTATGGTATTTTGTAACAGGTTCTTCGGTTATTTTGGAGACGACTCCATGGAACGATCTCTTCCCCTTCGTACGCGTTAAGCATTACTTGTTGGCACCTTCGTTGCGAACGCACACGAGCGCACACTGGGCCTTTGGATGGAGCTGTGAAGCACACTGCCAGTCTAAACAAAGGTGAGCTCCACAAACTGGATTTAGACGTTGAGTAAATTGAGTAAGTTGGTGTGGAGTTAATTGTTAAGTAACTGAATTTGTGTACGTGCAGACCAAAATTATTAATTTGTGGTAAATATTTTCCCGTTTTTTAGGAAACTACCGGACTTCATTGCCCATTTGATGGACTGGAGTCGACTCGGAACCGAAACAGGCTTTTTGTGGTTTAATTTTTGAATTTTGCAGTATATTCTTTCTTTCTAAATTTCTGTGTTTTAAAACAGCAAGTGCAGCACTCAGACGATAGTTTGATGTTTATTTGTGGTTTTTTTCTGTAATTTCAGTGCCATCTTTGTGCGTTGAATTGAAGTATGTCCAAAATTACGAGTAATGTGCGACAAAAGTTGCAATAAAGTTTCTGACAATGATAAAGCAAAAGTTCTGAATACAGTACAATGAAACTTCTAAAAACGAGTTCCAAATTAAGTTGGGAATTATAAGTTCTACACTAACTTTTACGGCACAAAAAGGTAAAGCCGCTGTTCAAAGATTGTTACAAAAAAACTTATACATTTTCACGAGGGATAGAAGTTCATAGAACGTAGCTAAAGGTTCAGTCTGACTAAGCGCCCGCACCGAGTAACGGTGACTACGAGCTGCTGCAGTTCCGCTGGGCGCTGGCTACACACCGCCAGCAGAAAGCCCAAAACTGGGTATGCATTGCTGTGTAGTGCACGTTGCTGTCCATTATTCATCGACTTTTTCTTGAGTTCCAGTTTTCTGCCATTCGAGTTGACATTTCAGTGATCAATTTATCCTTAAGATAATTCTTGTATTTACTCCTCTGTTGGCGTAGCATTTTTCCGTGTAATATCAGAAATTTTTTTACGGAAGGTATCCACGCGCGCTGATTATTCGTGTGCAAGATGGATTCGGTCCTCTACTGTGTGTGCCGTAGTGCTGCGACCGATGGGTTCATGATGTAAGTCTGGCCAGCGCTCTCTCCGCCGTTCTCCCGTCAAACACACAGTGATGGTGTGTGTATCCGTTGTTGCAGACAATAGTGCCCTGCAACGGAGTCGAAAACTTCGTCCAGCCCGATCCGAACTAATAAATTTTTCTCCGAACCCAGTCCGACTCCGAATTTTCAAAATCATACTCCGACCACTCCGATCCGTAAATGTTTTTTACAAATCCGAATCCAGTCCGATCCGCTCCGAAAATTTTTGTCATATTTTTTTATCTCGTTTCAGAAAAATCTAAAATACCTATACTATCCGCTGCAACAATTAAAGATAGCGCACGCCAAGTTATCATCAAAATTTTCAATTTTCAAAATCTTCGGAACGTTTATTTGATTTTTATGTAATCTAAGTTTAAATTTTGCGTCGTCTTAGCCATAGATTGCTCATACCTGAGCGTTTTCGAGTTGCGAATTCCGAAAATTTTGATCTTTTTGCCATCGCAAAAACCACAGTTTCTGGCTGTTGCTTTCACGTGTTAGTGGCATCTCTTTTAGTTCTCAACAAAAAACTCATAAAAGTTGTAATTCGGATTTCTTTCTTTGATTGAACAAGCTTCGCCTCTAACAAAGGGTACAGAGTAACTAAAGTTAACGTAATAAGTAGTTACGTTTAGTGCTTTACCGAATCACAAAGGAGCCTCGCGCGGAGCTGAAGCTGACGATACTTTTTGTCCTAAAATTATGGAAATTCTATAAAAATTAGTTGAAATATAATTTTATTTCGGATAATTCAGGTCATAATTACATCCGAATCCGATCTATTCGAGGCAAGCTCGAAACCACTCCGATCCGAATATTTTTAAAACAAATCCGTCCAATCCGCTCCGAAAATCGGAGTGGATTCGGAGCGGTTCGGATTTACCAGTACGTTGCAGGGCTCTAGCAGACAATGCGAAAAATGCGATGAATGGTTCCACGGAGATTGTGTGGGCGTTACGCATACGGAGGGGAATCGCATCAACAACTACTTCTGCACTACCTGTCAGGGTTTGTGCCATGCGTATTGTTTGCAACTGTTTGTTTGTTTATTTAAACGATATTTTCATAGTTTCCAAATGAGTCTCTACTTCCCTGTGTTTTTCGTTTTTAAATTATTTTTTATCCCGTGTTGATTTGTTTAGCAGGATTCTGTGATTTGTGGGCTACTGTTCATTTTTAATTTTCTAGCTCTGAAGTGCAACGATTCTGCCTGCGTAATTAGAAATCTCATTATTTTTGTATTTATCAATTAGAATTATGATTAAGTTAATTACTATATTGGTAAGACTACTAGTATATCAGTTTTCGAACTGCTATTTCGATAAATGCTTACTGAAATAGACGATTTTTAATTTTGAATGATTGTATTTTAGTGCGTAGTATTTTTAATGGGTTACCTCAACTTGGCAAGCTGTTCCGACGAAATGATAAAATGACATGTGAAAACTGTTAAAGAAATCAATTTATTAATAAAGGTAATCACTAGAATAATAATAAAATAATAATAAAATAATAGAATAATTTTTAAAAAATAAAATAATAAAATAATAAAATAATAAAAATAATAAAATAATAAAATAATAAAATAATAAAATAATAAAATAATAAAATAATAAAAAAATAATAAAATAATAAAATAATAAAATAATAAAATAATAAAATAATAAAATAATAAAATAATAAAATAATAAAATAATAAAATAATAAAATAATAAAATAATAAAATAATAAAATAATAAAATAATAAAATAATAAAATAATAAAATAATAAAATAATAAAATCACAAAATCAAAAAACAATAAAACGGTAAAATAAGAAATAAGTAAAATAATAAAATAAAGTAATTAGTTAATAATGAAATTAATCTCTAGATTTTAATTTCCAATTTTTGTCTTTTTAATAAGGCAGAAAATGCGTACTGTATAACTTGTTCATGTGTTAATGGCACTGTGTTACTAACAGAAAAGAATGACTCTCTGAAAATTACGTACAAAGCGGAGGATTATCCCGTCCTATTGACCGGAATTGCACAAACAGTCGCAGACGGCGCCCTCCGCCAGGTGTTCGAAAAAATCGGGAAAATTAAAAACATTTTCATCTTCAATAATTCCGATTCATCTCGCTCCGGATTAGTCATCTTTTACGATCCTCGTGATGCCGAGAATGCCGTCACCAACATCAGCGGCCAAGAACTGAATGGCTCGGAGCTGTGTGTCGTGGAAGGGCGACGGATTCCGGTGCTAAATGCACAGAACCTATACATTTTAATGCAGATTGGTAGGAGTTTAAATTGTTACACTGGTCAGAAAAAGCTTCGAAAAATTTTCGTTCCCCTTTGCTTTGTTTCGTAATAATATGAGCTTTTCCTTCTTACTGTAGTGCAGTGGCCACACACCCCGAGCGCTCTTAGTGTGCCTGCTGGGCCTAACTCCAGCACTTACGCTGACTTTTACACAATTACTGTTACTTACATTTGTGTTCTTGTTGGTGAACGGGTTTGTGTTAAATTAATTTTTTTTTACATTGTAGAAAAAAAACTGGATTCCGATCTGAAGGAGCTGGATACCGTGCTCCGTGGCCAGAACGATCCAGTCGCCGCACAAGTGCTGGACATTCTGAACAACACAGCCTTAGATGCCCTCGTCAACCACTCGGCTGCACTGGTTATCGACCGCAGCTTGCCGGGTTTGACAGCCGTATACTTCTCTGCAGCGGACGGGATTTCTCGAGAATCTGGGAAGGACTCTCTGCGGTATGTCTAATTGGACTTTTCTCGACAACAGTACGAGAAAGAATAGAGAAAAAACGTGATAGCACCGGGCAGATTTCTGATCTGGCACGTAATTAATATTACTTCGCGTCGGCATACAGACATGCGCACGTCAGAGCTGTTTGCCGTGTCTCTATTGTTCGGCCATAATTCTCGGCGGGCAGTCTTTCCGGTTCGATATCAAGTGCCCGACGTTGTGTGGCCTGCTATATGTGGGTTGTCATGTACGAAAAAAGAACAATGTTTTACATATTTCGCCAGAACTAGGCTGCAGAACGAGGAAGGAGTGGGTCTGATACAGCCGGTTTACGGGCAATTTTAAAACATATTCTGGCGCTGAACAGATGAATCATGATACGATGCAAATGTATAAAAAGCTTAATTAAAATTCCGCAAAAAAAAGATTTTTGACCGTGTCGCGTTTTGGCACCGGCAAAGTTGACTTCCGCATGTAGAACTTAGTATTTTCGAAGAAAACAACTGAAATCCGAAGCCAGTTTTCTACACCAGTTTTTTTCTATGCTGGTTTTGTTTTAACATCTATATACATTATGAAGGTTGTGCTGTTTGTAGGGAGTTGAATACTTCTTACCGCCGACAGGAAATTCGTTTCCTGTTTTGGCCACCAGAAGAAAACGGTAAGTTTTCCCAAATTTAAATTTTAATAAAATTCCGGATGTTCGTTTAACAGTTTCGTGTGCTGACGACGGTATCTTGATAGAAAACGATTGCGGCTTGAAAATTACCGGTAAAGCGACGAATAAGAGCCGTTCGGAGAAGAAACCGCGCAAATCGACCTCCAAGAAGGCGCTGAAACGGAAGGATTTCTCGCGCCCCTCCGACGCCCTTTCACGCGGTCCCGCCACCCAGACCAGTGAGCCGGCGGCAGGAAATGGAGACAGTAACGGACCGGCCAGCACCTCTGTCTCTGCATCGGACCCGGGAGATGACGAAGACTGGGAATTGCCAGACGAGAGCGCTGTTTCGTCTTCTTCGTCGGTTGCCCCGTGCAAGACTCGTGCCGCCAGAAAGCGAAAGAGCGCCCGTCGCCGCCCCTTTAACGTTCGAAAGACCCCGGCGTCTCTTCAAGCACATGCCAATTCAGCTGCCGGCTTTGGGCAGTCTCAGGCTGGTCCATCCGGAGCAATGGCGCCACAGGATGATACCGTGGTGGAAGTGATGAAAGAGAACGTTGTGGGCGAGAACGTTGTGGACGAGAACGTTGTGGACGAGAACGTTGTGGACGAGAACGTTGTGGACGAGAACGTTGTGGACGAGAACGTTGTGGACGAGAACGTTGTGGACGAGAACGTTGTGGACGAGAACGTTGTGGACGAGAACGTTGTGGACGAGAACGTTGTGGACGAGAACGTTGTGGACGAGAACGTTGTGGACGAGAACGTTGTGGACGAGAACGTTGTGGACGACAACGGTGTGGACGACAACGGTGTGGACGACAACGGTGTGGACGACAACGGTGTGGACGACAACGGTGTGGACGACAACGGTGTGGACGAGAACGGTGTGGACGAGAACGTTGTGGACGAGAACGTTGTGGACGAGAACGTTGTGGACGAGAACGTTGTGGACGAGAACGTTGTGGACGAGAACGTTGCGGGAGAGAACGTGGTTCTCCAGCCGGACGAAATTCTTCCCGTTTCTCCAGATCCACAAAGCTGGGACTTGAACAGCTTTAAGGAAGAACTGGGCCGCATGTAATAAGTTGTTGTTTGTCGCAAAAACCTTTTTAACATTCTGTTAAAAAGACAGGTGTTGGTTGCCTGCGCTGAAAACGGAACGGGGTTTGCTGTGTGCTTGGTTGAAATCTTTCTTAACATTTGCGATATTTTTTTAACAAGGTTTTAAGGTTGATAAATGATAATGGTGCATCATATACGCTTAATATCTGCAGCTACTTATTATTATTAAAGAAATATTCTTCAGTGTACTGTACGTTCCAGTCATGAACATCACAGCCACCTGCAGAATTACGAAAGCAAGACCGGGAAGAAAAGAACCTCGTATTTATACCTCGCTGCGGCAAACCAGAAAGTGCTTATTTTAACCATGCAGATAGTGTACTTTGCACATAACACTGTGTCATAGCACATTTATACAGTACAACTTGTCAATTAAACAGTACATTTTAAGCGTGCTGGAATTCCAACTAGCAACGAGTGATTTGGATTTCTGCAAAAATCCAGACCAACGAAAGACTCCAGTGCGGTTCACCACTTTTCTATTTCCGTACGTTCTTTCGAAGTTTTCTCGTCTTGCTAATTTTACAAGCTTGTTTATTCTAATTTTGCTACGTGCTTGTAGTTGATCTATTTATCTCACTTCTCGGGATAGACCAGCTTACGCACCAAGCGCGCACGCACCGCCGTGACCTTTAATTGCAAGCATCTCCTCCGTGACCGGCGGGAAGCGGCCGTTCAAAGTGTGCATGAAGCCCGCGAACATGCGCGATCGGCCTTCGGTGCAGCGCAAAGACTTCCGCGAATTAGTGATTTATTTATTGACACTGTTCAGATGCGACTCCCGCTTGAAGAAGTTCGTGATCAGGCAAACGCGATTGGGCTCATGCTTGAATACATTGTACGCTGTCGGGCCGAAGAGGTCGCCGACGGTCCAGTTGAGCAGCACAATGTCGTCGCCGATGATGTGTTTATACACTACGGCATCCATCGCTGCCGGGTGCTTTAAGGTCGCCGGGTTGTAGCGGTTGATATACTACGGTTTGGCGCTGGCTACGTCTCGCAAGACGAGCAACGAGAAGCCAGAATTCGTAGGCAACTCGCTTTGCTCTGCCATGCGGGGACTATCCAACAGCTGCTGCCACTATGCGCACACCCTGTTGCAAAACGGAACAAAACTAATCATAATTGTCATAATTAGGCAATATGCACTGCACACGCAAGATCTCTTCTACCGTTATCAGCTAATTATATAAAATGCAGCACGAAGAGTTACACGGCAGGTTGCTAACCGGCTGCGTGTAAACGGGCCTCTCGGTATCGGATGAATGGAATGGAGAAATATCCCGGCTGGTTAGATGCTTCTCAAGCACGTCGGTCAACGTAGCCTTCATCGCTGCTCCCAATCATCCCGTGGTAGACGTTGCCGCCGCTTCTGGAGTTGTGGAAAACAATGCGTATCTTCTAGCTTTTCCTGAGACCTGCTTCCGAAAAACACAAAGAACGTTACGCATTAATGTTTTACTGTCCGTTCTGCTTGACATTATTTTCCGGGTCTTGAGCGTTTACCATGTGGCACGCTCCAGTTTTTGATTAATTCTTTTCAAGCGCCGTGGACGTTGGCCGTGATTGGATTGTCAGTTGCTGATTGGATCAGAAATCCAAGCAAGTCAAAGTTACTGTTAGATAAATTTCTTAATTTACATCGAGAATATTATTTAAAATCCGGATGCCTGCCGGTAAAATAAGCATTCTATCCAAGTTAACGTGATCATTAAATGAACTCTACAAACTGTAGGATAAGCTGCATTGCTGCGTACACGGTACAACTTGATCTGAATACAAGTCAAAGGTGGAACACAAAATATACATGTGGTAAAGGTCAAACATTTACGATAAAGCCGATCCTTCCTGGCGTGCAAGCTTTCTCGGATACGAAATGCCACTTCTTACGTGGTAACCTGCTCGCACAATCTAATGCAGCCGCTATACCTGCAAAGGATGGCAGAGGATACAAAGAGCGGGTTTTTTGCTGCTGAGCGGGTTTTTGTTTTTGCGGCATGACATGAAGCATTCCGGGATAATCTTACCGAAGATTTACAAAAAGCGATGGACCTACGGAACCTTTTCTTGAAACATTAAGGCAGAAGTACACTGTAGGAGAACGCGATAATATGTTGTTTTGTATCTCGAAGTTTGTTTTTTTATGTTTTGAAGGATGCGCAAGAGGTGCATACCGGAACTTTGTGTCTATTGCCGACGGATTAACTAGGCTTAAGCGTTTTCTTTGCTACATCTGAACTTGTTCTGACTGTCGGCTCTGTTTGTCGCACCTGTTTTCCTCATATTATCCGTGTTTTTTTTTCTACTCCACTGTTTAAACAATTTGTTCTTTAACTAACGAGAAAATGGCATTGGCGAAATAATGCCTCTACCAGGCTGAGAGCGCTGGAATAAATTTCTTCTTCTTCTTGAATGCCGAATGCGAAATGATTAGGTCGGCCGGCGCACACTAGAAGATAGTTTCTGCACTGATCCTGCGCACCGAACGAGCGTCCACAGTCGCGACCTTTGCTAGCATGTCGGCGGTGACTGGCGGGAAATTCTCGTCCTATGCCCACACGAAGCGACTGTTTATGTGCCATTGTGCATGCCGTCGCTGCAGCGCTGAAAAAGTCGCCGAATGGCGATCGGCATACCGTTGATGGCCCGCGGTCATCTTGCTTTCGCTACAGTCGCAACCATTTTTTGCGGTTGACCGTTTCATAAGGACCCAGTGATCGCCGTTGCCCATATCTAAGGAGATGGGAGTAGACAAAATGAGGTGTAGAAAGGTGGTGACGATATCCAATGGTGGACCGGTGGTGTGTAAAAAATATTTTTGAAAAGCCAAAACGTGGTGCGATTAGCCAAAACGCGGTTAAAAGGTGGTGGAAATAGCAAAAAATAAATAGAAAGCAAATATGAATCGGGGTATTGGTGAGAATAGGAAATATGAATTTTGAAAATATGTATAGAAAGAATCTCTTTAATTTTTCTTGATTGTGCCGCCAGATGTGAGTGTAAAGAAACCTGTTTACAAGCCCGACTATATATATTATATTATTGAATAAGTGAGGTTTGTTCAATTAACTTTCAATCAAAGTGAATAGCACCGATATGTGTACAAGATGTACTAGGAGTCTAGGATAGTGTTCGATATAATTTTATCATTTTAGTATTGTTCTTTGAAATTGTTTAATATTTATAGTGACCCAGGATTGTGAGATCGACATGCCTGGAAGCGTGAAAGCACACGCAACCGGCAGCCACTTAACCGGCATCAGCTCGACGTTATAGAGTTAATGCCACTAGTGGCAGCCTGTGCACTGTGCAGTGTGCGGTGCACACCGTGCACTGCTGCGCGCCCCACGCTATCTGTCCCTCGGGAACGATATTAATAGGACAGCACAGCAAGGACTGCAGCACACTGAGCACAGCAATACTTTAGCTGCCAATAATCTCCCCGTAGTCTCTGTATGCATATGCTTAACGTAATACTGTATCACTACTTGAGTAGGGCATTTCTAGGTACATACATTTCCAACATACATGATCTGCACGAACGGAGCAGTAATTTCTACATCCATGAATGCTGATGCATATTCGCCTTTACTGAGCTCCTTTAAACTGTTATTTGCGTTTGCCAAAACAAAATTATATACTTTGTGACAGTTGCTTGATCAGGACGCGCGCCGATTATAATTGCTGTACTTATTTTCTGTTACACAGCATCGAATTCCTTCTATTTTGGCTTATTGTGCAAATTACTGCTGCTGACTGTTATAGCTTCGACGCGTGTATTGCTATTACTGCTGGATATCGCCACGGTTGAATAATTACATATATCATTGGTGCTCTATATTCCCCGAAATGCGTGCTCCCAGATTTGAGTGCAGATAAAGGTAAATGTTTTTTCGGGCCCGTGGAATTTTGAAACAGAACTAAGCTCCACTATAATCGTTTAGATAGGATTTTAGGAAAAACGTTTCTTATTTGGAAATTGTAGTGCACTTAGCTGGCGTGGAGACTGAAGAGCACATGCCACATGGAGTCCAATGGGTTAACAGTTAACACTTGACTGCAAAAAGATTAAGAAGAAAGCCCGAAGAGCGAAAATGTGCGATTATTTATTAGTTTAGTATGTACGATTAGAGGGCGCTTCAATTTTATAAATATGTTTATTGCAAGAATGACAGGCTTTGGGTTCTTTTCCATGCTTACTATGTTTTGATTAGTCTTATAGGCGAAGGTTGGCCGAGGTGCGAGACGGTATTAACTTTTAAGAACCCAAGAACTTGAAGAAATTAATCAGCAGGCTGCCCGTGAGAACTGATAAGAAATGACTTGAGATCATAAAATTATTTTTTGGTAATCTTCTTACTGTAAAACAGCAGAATCTAATGGTAGTAGTGAATGAAATTATTCTGTTAAATAACGATAGCTAAACTTCAAATGTTCTGTTCAAAAGGCCAAATTCATATTAGAGGTCTCTAACCACTACCTGCTACCAGGTTTGGAATTTAGAAAAAATGAGAAATTTCGCAAGGCGTTGCACATTTCATCCGTGATATCCTGAAATTCTACGAACTACAGTACGAGTAGGGAAATTACCGTACGGTATACAGTACTAGTAATTTCTTGTAAAGCGTCCTTTGGATCCTAATTTGCAGTTTGCACCGAGCGCACTCGAAGGGAGAGGAATTAAACTTTCTTCGATAACAGAATTTTTTCGGTATGCACAAAACGTGTAGCGAAATATTTTTCAGTTCCACAGCAACAATCGCCATTCGAACCGCGTAGTAGACGTTCTGAGTGTGCACTGAATCGGGAATGGTAATGGAACTGTTTTAACTTTCAGTGACGATTCAATTTTAACTTTTAGTTTACGATCCAATTTACCGCAAACGTGACTTATAATTTTTATAGTGTACCGCCACGTGACAGTACTCTGTGTACATCAGCGCAGATTAACACTGGTAAGCACGATTAGATTAGATGTAAGTATGTACGAGTACTCGTATATCTTCGCTTCTGCTGAGCAAAAGCTTTTATTCATTTACCGCACAATACTTACTTGTTTTCCAGTTTGAAATTTCCCATTGTAAATGCACAGCAGCTCGGGCTGTGAACGATGTGGTCACCAGCACTACAGATACTATTTATTCGTAATTTCGTACTAGTACGCGTACTGAAGCAGCAGATAATACGAGATAATCAGCAGATAGTCGTACTTGATCTATGCTGCATGTTTTATAACAATAATTGTGTAGAATGTTGTTAACTCTGTGCCTGTATTTCTCGCAAAAATTCAGTTAATGGCACTTTACTACAAAGTTACTCTCAGTTGCTTGACCGCAGTCAGCATACAAAATGTAACCTGCAAATAGGCGTGCGCGCGGAGAACTTCCTTTCTTCATTTTTGGATTATCAGCGATTCCCATTGACTTTGCGTACAAAATTACTTTATTTTCTAAAGTGATTTTAGGATTCCACTTTTTCTTGCATGGGTAGCTACAACTTACAGAAAGACATTAATGTTCCGCAAGGCTCACCGACTATGTCGACCTACACTTCGTCGAGCGTGACCAGTCCACCGTCACGAGGGCGATGACTAAGGAACATAAGAAAACACAAGAAACCTCAGAAAAAAAACCTAAGGATCTAAGAAACCTAGGAAAACTAAGAGGACTGCAAAACACTATCTCGACTGCGTGACGGCCTTACGTGTCGGCATAGTGACTGTTCGACTTATTGTCGGTCGAATTTCCGTCGACAATAATTTCGATCTTGGCGATCTATTATTTCAACACGTTTCGTATCTGTACCTCGTTAACTCTTTCAGTGTTTCTTCTGGACCGCTTCAAATTAGGTGGTAAATTCAGCTGGATGATATAGAGCTTTGAACCTTGCCGTATTCTGAGTAGAGTGATGGATTCCTTATGGCCGGTAATGCCGCGGTATCGGCCGCTGCTGGTGGAGGCCAACCAGATGAGCTACCAGAACACCGTCGCTGTTCGTCGTTCTGACGACACGTGGTGGCTGGGGTATATTCAAGACATGGACGGCGATCACGCCTTCATCCATTTCGACTCCAAAACAGTTGAAGCTCGTTGGATACACTCGGGCGCCGTGTGGCCACTGCCCTTCTTCCACGACACCAGACAAGCCGGCTTCGAGAATATTCCAGTATTTGTCGCGCTCCGTGATGAAGAGAACGGACCGTTGCGCTTCCGACCGGCCGTTATGCTGGAGATCTTTCAGGGTTGTGATTTCTGCTACCTGTTTTACATCCGCACCGCAGGACATGATCAACTGGTTTACAACGGTCAGATAACCAGTCAGCTGCCACCCACAGGACCGCCCTTGCTGCAGCGCCGCAGTGGTATGCTGTATGCCAAACACTTTATCCCGTTTGCCAGAGCGAACGCTGTTCTAAGTGATGCCTCCGACAAGTTCCGGGTGATTAAGCATGCTCGTAAAGCCCTCCGACGAAATATGGATGGACTAGTAATGTGGCGCTGCTGTCGATTTCACCTGCGTATCGAGCAGGCGGGTTGCATGTTTATTGTCTTGAGCCAGTCAACAGATGAAGTGACGACGCAGTGGACAGTGGCTACGTTAGCGGAAATGCTGGACACGCACCTGGCCAGCCGCATTGACCTACCCCCCATTGGCAATCGAATACTCCACGAAAGCTCCATTATATTACCGAACAGAGAAGGTTAGCACGTTATTCAATAAAATTTACAGAAATATTCCTGTTTTGCTAAAAGCGCTTTTAGGAACAGTTCATCCGCATTCCGTACCGCAATTTTTTGGTGTAGTCCTTAGATGAAGTTGCACCACTTATACTTCCGGCCGTTGCCTGCCGAGTGCCGGGCACCACACACCGTCGTAATCGTTACGGCAGCGTATGCGTGCTTTTCCGTGTACCAGACTCTGTGGTGCAACTTTTCTAACGGCTATCCCTTATCCTCGCGAACAGAATCCGCTTCTTTACAGGAAAACTAATTAACCCTTTTAAAACCCAGCACGTCGGACGTTTTCTCGGCAAATTTGTCCATAATTCGAGTGCCCCAAGACGGATTGTCCGCGACTAAATGTCTAGCGGCAAAATGTCGCAAAGCAAAAAAGTCTCAGAGCTGTATGCCCCAAGTCGAAATATCCCAGCGCCTGCATGTCCGGCGGCGGAATGTCTTCGCGGCAATAAATCTTCTCGAGCTTCTTCTCTAGAAAGCTCATCCAGTCCCTCCTGGAGGGCTTACGAAAAACTATTGCTCTCATGCAGGACACCTGTTGGTAATATAAGTAAAAGCGACGGGAAATCGAACATAAGCAAAGCAAAAAAATTACAGATTCGCAGGCTTTGCCAATCTTTGTTTTTCCCTTATTTGACCCATAATCTTTTTGTGGGTGACGTGCTTTGCCACTCTTGCACCATTTATGGCGCACTAGCATGTAGTACTGGCTACAATTACATTTATTACACAATAGCGTGCACATTGCAGTGCAGGCTTTCTCAGCGGACCCGGAAAACTGGAAATTTGGGAGTGTGACATTTCGCCTCACTAAAATTCAACGCACGATTTTTTGCCGCGAAGACATTCAGCCGCCGGACATGCAGGCGCTGGGATATTTCGACTTGGGGCATACAGCTCTGAGACTTTATTGCTTTGCGACATTTTGCCCCTAGACATTTAGTCGCGGACAATCCGTCTTGGGGCACTCGAATTACGGACAAATTTGCCGAGAGAGCGTCCGACGTGCTGTGTTTTAAAAGGGTTAATTAGGTTTAAAAAAACCAGGTCCTTAGTTTCTTATTGTTTTTTCTTAGATTCCTTGTCTGTTTTTTTTATGCCTTGCAAACTTAATCAACATAATTTCCTTCAAATACGAGCAGTCATGGTGTCGAAACAGTCTCGCGATGACGCGATCTCACAGCGTTATGTCCCGCCGAGTAATTGTCCCGAACAATGGTACGAAATTACGAATAGCACATTCATGTTGTTAGGACTCTTTGAGCGCTGTACGAAGTTACGAACGTACGAGTTACCTAACAAATAACAATCAACCGTGGAAGGTTGTCAGTGCACGTTAAAGTTAACCGTCAACCATGGATGGGTGCACTAGTAGACAATTTGCACGACTACAGTAGTACCACTTCTCTCCGCATAGTCTCGTGCAAATTATTTTCTTTCGCGGGCATTCCGTACACTGACCTTGAACGCTTCCACACAGTTCAAGCCTCAAGACATCCAGTTATCAAGAGCCGACGTAACTGGAAAAAGTCCAACCAATCTAATCTAGCTCCGAAATTGAGACTCACCATTTCAAGCTTGTCCGGTAATTTCCTACGTAAAGGTACAGCTACCGCGAAGTTTGCGCTTATAACGATGGCCACTTCACTACGTTCATCAAATTGCCTAAATGCGCTCCGCAGTCAGATTGCGGCTTAGTGCACCTATCATTTTCTAGCCACCTTCTGCCAGGCAGTTCCTATTATTTAATAAAATTATATGGCGTGTACCAAGCCAACAGCCAGCCAATGCAAGTTACGTGTTTAAACATTGTGGCGTGGCGCGCCGTAGTGTCAAGTTTGGCGTAACACGCAAATTTTGTGCAATTCGCTGTATTGATTCGTCAGAAATTACCGGACAAGCTTGTACACACTAGTGACGTTGCGCAGCGCGCTTCTTGTGGCAGTTGCTTGTCGCTTTTATCCAGTCTGTGCTTTATCTGTCAGAGACAGAGCGCAGACTGGATAAAAGCGACGAGCGACAAGCAACTGCCACCAGAAGCGCGTTTGCGCAACGTCACTATTATTTAGGTACACCAACTCGTTGTTATTGCTTGTAGATGTTGAAGTAGATGCACTGCATCCAACTGCTTCCATCGGTGACCTGTCGCCTTTCATTGTGGAAAAAATTTTTTCTCACCTGGATTTGCACTCGCAAATGAAAACCAAACGGTATGAGAATTCTGTGGTCCACCCGATTTCATTGAACTACCTCGTACATAAAAGGATATGGCTCACCTGCGCCAGCCTTTTCTTAGCGTTGCCTGCGCCCCTCACTTCAGAAAAGCTGAAGACGGGCTGCGGACAAGCATGGAGATTAGGTTTGCTGACAAATGTTGATCAGTAGGAAGCAAAACAATTTTCACAATAAACAAAGCCATTCGCATACTTGTATCTATAGTCGCGGCAGTCGTTCCTGAATCGGTTGCCCAGTTGCGAAGATGTGCTCTTATAGGTGACTGGCTTTTGAATAGCATTCCGAAGCCTCTGCGACAGGTGGTTTGTTCTCTTATATTTTCCGTCGGCTGCACACAGATGCAGACTTAACACTATGAAAAGAGGAAGACTAGTCTTCGCATAGGAATAGTGTTAACGGCTTGTTTTTGGTTTGTCTATGGAGATTTGTAACCAAAATGTTACACGCCTTTGATTCGCTCATTTTAGGGGAGTGGTTTAGTATTTTCCGGAGGGCAAAACCCTGCAGAGTGCAGTGAGTTATGCATACATAAAGATACTGTATACGTTACACATACAAAGACTAAGTATATACGGCTTGTTTTTTAACGGTTAATACCTTATAAGAGGATAGTTTAGCATTGCTGCCAGTGTAGCTGTGCAACCATCCAAAGTTGTTGGTTTAGTTACTTAAGTAAGCCGCTGACCGCTGGTTGTGTTCCAGAGGCCAGACGCTATCGACTTGAACGCTAGCTTTGAGTGCTATCGACTTCGACTCACTAATTTTGCTGAATCTCCCAAGCATGGACTTTGTAAGGATATTAGCAATTACATTTAACGCAAAAGCCCTATATATATGCACAAAGATACATGATCAGAAATTCAGCAAATTTTCTAATTTAGAATATGCCTTTTAATTTGAAACCGGACAAGGCAAAATTCTAACTGCCGGTTCTCGAGCACCGGAGAACTTCAGGCGGCGGCTATGGAGTAAAACATACAAAATCGATTTTGCATTCTTATCACTTACTCAACGTAAACTTATAATGTTTCATAAGCGTGTTTCGTAAGCGTGTTTCCACATGTACAGAGTAATGAAATTTCTTGACAGCGATAAAAGTTGTCACAGAAAGCAGCTTGTTCGCCTAAATTATTGAAGCTGGTTTGGTTTAAACAATAATTGATCGAGACGCAAGAGTTGGAGTTATCTTGCAAGTCCGAAGGAAACAACCAGCCGTCAGAAACTGCATTAAACCGTCACCTGTTTGCGTTTGCATGATGCATCAGTTACAGTGCAACTATTAACGGATTTTTCCAAAATGTCAAATTTTTCAGTTTTGGTTCAATCGACACACACTTAAGGGCTATTTTCAGGGAGGAAATGGGTGCTAGAATGAGCACATTTTCATTCCAGCAGCACGCTGCTGGAATTGAAATCTTCAAAAATTCGCAATTTTGTAATTTTCCGTGCTAAATTTTGGGAGTGAACTGCAGAATTTGAGAGATCTTTAATGCGAGTAGCTAATTTTCGTTTTGTTTATCCCCTTTTTATCACCTGGTTTATTGAAAAGGTTGTTCAAAACATCACGAAATTCGTCTGGGAGATTATGGTTTTTAGCAACTTCACAGCAAACAAATAACACGGGTTTATTAGGTTCTATGTGTAACAACTGTTATGGCCTTATAGGTCATCTAGGACGACACAGAAGTCCATTCCATTGCTGTAAGTACGCACAAAATCGCACGCTGTAGCAATCGCAAATAAATTCACACGTTGAGGCATAAGTCCATGCGCATAGATATTACCAGGACCGACTCTATATGTATAGAGTCGGTCCCTGATATCACCTAAAGATTTCCTGCGCACAGATATTATTTTGGAAAGCGCATAGATCTTACCTAAAGTCTGGGTGCATTCTGGTACTTATCTTACATCAACAAATAATATAGCGTTTCGACAATACCACAGGAAAAAGGAATGGTTAGATAAATAAAAGAAGCCAAATAAAATATAAAAAATCTTCGGAAAAACAGAAAATCGCCGATATTTCTGAGACCGGAAATTAGGCGCATAGCCAATTTCTGTGCGCCCGGTTTGTCGGGGCGCATAGCAGTCACTTATTAATAAATCTGCAGTCAACCATACTAAGGGCACGGAATAAATGAACATTTTATGGTCTACATAAAGAAACCGAAAAACCGTGGGAGCAAAAACCGTGACAGTCTGCAGTTCCGGTCCGTCTGCAGCAAATCTCGAAACAACGGCTAGACTGAGTCGTCTTTAAATACCCAAAACTCTTCATCAAGCTGCCGGGGGCCCCGCCGTGGTTCAGAGTCAGACGTGCGAAATCGTATTATATATCTGCAGCCATAGTAAAATTCTGCTCGGTTACGTTGACTTCCTTAGGCAAATGTCTAGCGTCATACAGAACAGAGTGTTCCTCCATCTAAAATTTGTACGAGTAGGTAGCTGATTGCCTAGGTGACTTTATCGTTCTGCGGCTTCTGCCTAACGATAATATGTTGATACATTAATTACTGTTATGACAGGGTGTGTGCACTATGGTTGCTGCTGCTGAATAACCCCCGTATGCATGAACACATCAGCATCTCTCTAGATGCCTGCTGGGATCTGAAATCCGACAGCGACAACTGCTTCAAAGCGGCCTCGCTGCTCTACCGAACCATAACTGCCACCACAATCAGTCTCACCCTTGTGAACGTTTTCCCTGACAATCATTTCTCACTTGTACGTGACTTGTTAGCCACCATGCAGATCAGGCTACCGTTACTGGTCCTCAAAGATCACACTTTCTGTGGACCGGGGACCATTGCGGGGCAACCTTCATCGCTCTTGACGCACCCGACAGTGAGCAGTCTACTGGCGTATAGAGACACTTGCGATGCTATCCTGCTCCTGAACTGCACAGTGGCTGAGGTTTTTTGCCGAGTGTTATACGACATCTTTCAAGAAGAGCCTGGTTATCTGATGCCTGATCGGCGTCTACCGAGGCGCGAGCGGAAATTCATGAGAAAAATCACCGATCCTTGGGGCGCCCTCGCTATCGACAAACTACAAAGTACCATTCCGCGGCTTTTTCTTATGTGCAGCGACGGCGAACTGCACATGACCAGCCGCTTCATGCACGCTGTCAACAACAACTTCCCGCCGGTCACCGCGGAGATGCTGGCAAAGGTCACGTCTGTGCATGCCCGTTGGGTGCGCACTCTGACCTACCCGGATGAGTGGCACTCTATGCGCAATTATTGCTTTTTGTAAGCAGGCATTATTTACCTCTGCTTTACGTTCTTGAACGCATAGGAATTGTTTGCAGGTTCAGCGGGTTTGACGCCAACGGGATGCCGCAAACGTGGGACAAAGCCGATCTGCGGCTGGTGGATGTGCAGACACTGAGCAGAATGGCAATACATGGAATCAACGAAGTGTTTCGTGTGTGATTACTTGGACAAGAGAACTGAAATGTTCCTGTCGGTTTCCTTCGCCGAAGGGCCGCCCTCTCTGAGAAAAGAGGAAGAATATCGCACCAACGGTCATGGCGGTCTGCTTACGGATCATCTTAACTCGGAACCGGCATCTCTAATAGTTGATCGATGCGTACAACCACCCTCAATGCATCGATTTTCCCACTTTGCAGTTACGAGCTATTTTCTTTAACGCACTCGATACGTATCGATTTCTGCACGCTGCAGTCAAGTTGCCAATTCTTTGTCCTTCCGTCTTGCAATTATTAATTTTTGGTTTGCATAATCTTGATATAAATATCGGTTGTACTGGTACATACCAATGGCTAAGTATTTATAATGTTATTCATATTCTCTCCCTCGTGTCACAGTTACCTGAACCGAGTGGCAGTGCAGTAACGCGTCACAGCAACAAAAATGGCTTCAATGCGGCAAAATTGTACGACCTGCGCTGTTGCAGTGGTGTACCGAACGTTACGATACTTTTTCCGTGAGAGCGTGGTACCTTGTTCAGCTTGTTGTTCAGCCCCTCGCGATTAATAACATGGCCAGCGTGGGACAAGTTACTTTCGTACATGTCGGCGATGCAACGAAATAAACAACACTTTGCAAGAACTTCTGCCTTTCGACCCAAAATCAAAATTCTTGCAAAACGTGATCTATGAGCACAGTTTCCGATCCCAAAGAAGGACAAAATCAAGAAAATATCAGCATCTTCTGCATCTCTTTTACTACAACAGAACACTATCATGCTTGCAATGTGTCCGCCTCATTTTCAAGGCCCACGCTCAAGCTCTGACTCAGACTCTGATCGCTCAAGCTCTGACTCTGACTACTCAAAGTCTGACTCTGAATGTCCAAACCCAAGAAAAACCTAAGAAAACCTAAAAAACCTTCAGAATCAGAGTCAGACTTTTAAGAGTCAGAGTTTGAGTGGTCAGAATCAGAGTCAGAGTTGGAATTTGGGCCCATTTTCTATATATGGAACGTTTCGTACCAAAGAAAAA